TGTTTGGCAGAGGAAGAAGATTTAACATGTTATGAGCATTTCAATTGATTGAAATGTATACCCTTTTTTCAATAGATAACAGAAGAATAGTCCAGTCGTTAATTGGTTTCCTTCACAATTCACGACCCTTTGATTTAATTACTTAAATATGCAGACGGGCGAATGCACTTGAACAAATCAAACCTCGAACATTGAAATAATAAAGCAATTGCTCCCTCTTTAAGTACTAAATTAAACTGAAGGCGTATTTGTTTATTAGGTTGGCAACTCAAATCAAAATATGGTGTTTGACTTTGATGAGCTGTTCAACAATTCGCATTGCCAACCATATGTTTTATTGGTGATTAAATTGGCAAGGATTTTAATTATTGTAATGCCGTTTTTATTTTATGATTTGTATACCTTCCACCATACTATGGAATCTGTCAGTGTGTCTGTCTGTTATAATGACAATCTTTCGAACGAATTCAGAAAGAAAGCTAAAATTTTGCACTCATGTGTATTTTGCCAGTAGACAGGTTAAGTTCGTAAATGGGTCATGTCGATCCACGTATCCCAATATTCAGTATTTTGATAATTGTAGCGACATTTTTTACCCGAATTGTTTCAAATTTCGTATTTTAAGTTCGTAATGGATCCACGTATTCGTACTCTCCCATATAACGATACCTCCCGATATTTGGTATTTTGATATTTTTTTTTATTGAAATTAATTTTTTACCCACAATTTTTACTGAAATGGTTTCCAATTTATGATTCTAAGTTTGGAATAGGTACTACATCCTTTGACAAAATTACTGATACGTACATATAGTCTCCATATAATGGCTCTCATTTAAGCGACGAATTTTTTTTAAATTTCTTGTTCCTTCCAAATGGTGGAGGGTAAAGTTTGGCCTGACCGAAACACTTTCACTCCGATTAAGGGAGAATTTTTTTAGTTATCGATAACAAAAATGAAAAAGTTGAAATCAAAAGAGACTTTTGGTAAAAAATTAAAAATGTGGAATATGAAATAAAAATTATTGGATATGTGCTGCTACTTTGAAGATTCTGATAAGTAAAGGAATAGAGTTTTTGACATACTCTATTCAAGCTCTAACATACACGAAGGGGTTCATTGCAAAATTAGCAGTGAGTAATGAGAAAATGATTTCGGATATTTCTAATTCAGTTAAAATCAAATTACTTTTTTGTATTGTTTAAAAAAAAATAAAAAAATTTTACAACATAAGGTGTAACACACATATAAAAACAATATTTTTAATTGAATTTTAATTAGTAGCTTTGTATTTTAATTAGCAGTCATATTTTCCAAATTAAAGCAAAATGTACTAACCTTCAATTAATATCCATTGTCTTTCAAGGCGGCAGCTAAAATAACACTCTGGCACTAGATTTTATTCACTTTATTATTGATATTTTTACTTTTAATTAATTTTTACTTATATTTGATTTACACTTTTGCACTAGATTTTATTTATTTTATTTACTTATTAAATACTTTACTCATTTTTTTACTATTTTTTATTCACTTTATTATTGACTTCTTACTTTTAATAAATTTTTACTTATTACACTGGATTTCATTTGGACTTTTTTAATCTACTTATTAAATGATTTACTTATTTTTTATTCACTTTATTATTGATTTTTTTTTACTTTTAATTAAATTTTACTTATATTTGATTTACGCTTTTACAATAGATTTTATTTGGATTTTTTTATTATATTTACTTATTAAATAATTTACTTATTTTTACTATTTTTTATTCACTTTATTATTGACTTCTTACTTTTAATTATTTTTTTACTTATACTTTCACACTAGATTTTATTTGGATTTTTTTATCTACTTATTAAATGATTTTCTTATTTTTTATTCACTTTATTATTGACATTTTTACTTTTAATTCAATTTTACTTATATTTGATTTACGCTTTTACATTAGATTTTATTTGAATTTTTTTTATCACTTATTGAATAGTTTACTAATTTTTTTTTTTTTTTTGTACAAAGAAGGCAAACATCTTTTTTTTTCAATTTTTTTCTTAAAAAAGTACGTTTCTTAATGTCTTCTACATAATATTGCACATTTTTGCTTATGCTTTTTGGCGCCTTTTTGTAAAGCAAATATATTTATTTTTTAGAAAAACTCACTGTTTTTTTTTATTAGCGTATTCTTCTAATTGAACATAATTATTTTTTATTATTTTATTATTATTATTCTACTTTTTTTTTTTAAAAAAAACTCACTATTATTTATTAATATATTCTTCTAATTGGAAACAATTTTTTTTATTTGAATTACATTTAATTTTTAATTTTTTTAAAGAATTAAAAGCATATTTAACACAATTTCACTGCTCGAACAAATTTTTGCAATTTTTACATTTATTTGATTTTATTAATGTCAAAAACTTGGCTTCCTTTTAACACCCGACTGTTGCAAAACAAATCAAACGGGTGTCTCCCAATTGCAAATTGATAGATCAGCCATTACGGATAGTTTTTTTTTTTTTTTTTTTTTTTTTTTTTTTTTTGTTGCATTTGTGCTCTTGTCAGCCTTTTTGTATTTTAATACAACAGTTTATTTAAGCTTTATAATGTTCTATTGTTTTATTCCCTTCTCTCTCACTCACAATCATAAAGGTCTCAACAACTCCAATTGCTCAATTGAGAAATAGAGAGACTTGTCATTTGCAAGAAATTTTTTTTCACAACGCCGATGTCTCTTTTTGCACACATATTTTAGATCATCTTTTTTAATTGTTTATACTTTGTTTTTAACTATTTCCTTCACACATTATTTTTGCTGGGATGCTATAATAGTTTTTATTCACTTTTCTTTTCCGAAATACTTAATTATTTGCATTAAATTCAATGAAAGAACGGATTAGATAAATTTTGCGCGTTTTTCCGGTAAGACATTTTATCTGACTGAAGTTTGTCGCACATCCAGGAAATAGGATTGCCAAGGTTTGACATAGAAAAGGAGTTGTCGTTCGAATGCATAATGACTGGGGACAATATGAAATTGCCATATAACCAATTATTTTAAAAAATGGCAACTTTTAAAAGAATAAGTTCTGGGAGAGCTGGAGAAAATCACAATTTAATTTTTATTGACATATTTTTCTCTTTTTTATTAATTTAAATTATTTTTTTCGAAAAAATTAAAAATTTGTATTTCTTTTAGAAATTTAGAATTTAAAGCACATTTTAAACAATTTCACTTTTTGTATAAATTTTTACGATATTTACATTTATTTTATTTTTATTAATTCACAAACAAATGGTTTCCTTTTAACAGCCGTCTATAGCAACAACAACAACAAATCAAATAATTACATCCCAATTAGAAATTGATAGATCAGTCATTCACGAGTAGTTGCTGTTGCATTTGTTCTCTTGCGTTTCTCTTAAATTCGCATAGTCATATTGAGAAATAGAGAGACCAGGCATTTGCATGTAGTTTTGTTCACAACGCCGGTGTCCCTTTTTGCCCATTCATTGTAAAGCATTTTTTCAATGGTTTTTGGTTTATTTATTACTATTTCTTTCACTCATTATTTTTGCTGGGATGCTATTATAGTTTTTATTCACTTTTCTAATCGAAATTCTTAATTATTTGCACTAAATTCAATGAAAGAACGGATTCGATAAAATTTTGCGCGTTTTCCCGGTATGACATTTTATCTGACTGAAGTTTGTCGCACATCCAGGAAATAGGATTGCCATCGTTTAATATAGAAAAGGAGTTGTCGTAGGAATGGATAATGACTGGGGACAACATTGGATTCCCATATAAGTGGAGGCCTGGTGAAAATCGCAATTTATTTTTAATTGACACATATTTTTCTAATTGGACACAATTGTTTAATGCTATTCACCTCTTTAATTTAAATTAATTTTTTGAAAAAAAATATTATTTGTATTAGAATTTTAGAAACCAAAGCACATTTTAAACAATTTCACTTTTCGTATAAATTTTCACGATATTTACAGTTATTTTATTTTTATTATGCACAAACAAATGATTTCGTTTTAACAACCGACTATTGCAACAACAATTCATATAATTACATCCCAATTAGATATTGATGGATCAGTCATTCACGAGTATTTGTTGTTGTGTTTGTTCTCTTGTATTTCTCTTCAAATCGCATAGTCATATTGAGAAATAGAGAGACCAGGCATTTGCATGTAGTTTTCTTCACAACGCCGGTGTCCCTTTTTGCCCATTCATTGTAAAGCATTTTTTCAATGGTTTTTGGTTTATTTATTACTATTTCCTTCACAAATTTTAATTGTTGGGATGCTATAATAGTTTTTATTCACCTTTCTGTCCGAAATTCTTAATTATTTCCACAAAATTCAATGAAAGAACGGATAAGATAAATTTTTGCGCGTTTTCCCGGTATGACATTTTATCTGACTGAAGTTTGTCGCACATCCAGGAAATAGGATTGCCATCGTTTGACATAGAAAAGGAGTTGTCGTATGAATGGATAATGACTGGGGACATTATGTGGTTGTCATAACCAATAATTTTTAATAAAAAAAAACATATTTTTAATTGCACAATTAATTTTTGGAGAGCTGGAGGGAATCACCAAAATCAGAGACATATTGAGAAACCAATAATTTGCACATTTTTGCATTTACATTGGCAGAGTTTTTCCAATTGTTTTTAGTTTATTTACAACTATTGATTTAAAAAAAATTTATTTTTAAGATACTGTATTAATATATTTTTACTTTTCTTATTGGAATTCGTAATTATTTTCATTTAATTTAATGAATTACATGTTAATACGTAGAAGTTGTCCCATCTAGGAAATAGGGTTACCAAAGTTGATATAATTTATTATCAAAATATACGACGACTAAATAAACTAATAAAAATAATAAATTACCTAATGGTAACCGGAAACCAAATCGATTCCGATTAACATGATACGTCTCACTGTATTTATTTCATTAAAAATAGCAACGATTTTTGTTTTTAAAAAAATTCCTTAATTTTATTTAACAAAAAATGTGTTTCCTTTTAGTTACAAGATTTTCGAAATAATTTAACAAATACATGCTAAACACAACACATGGATATTACCCTAGAAACCTAAAGAAAACATAATCTATAATCGGGATTGTTACTTAATTATAGTATATAAAAAAAAACACAAAATGCTATCCCCCCTTTAACTGGGAGATTTCAAAGTGATTGGGTGAGTGGGAAAGGAAAACAAAAAAAAATGCTAATCGACTAGTCTACAAAAGCTTTTCAATCCATTCCTTTAAGTCACTGAATTCCCCATCCTTGGCGGAACCTTGATAGAATTGTATGTTCTGTTGCAGATGGGACCATTCGACATCTTTGCCTGGTTTACCCAAATACACGGGTTTGCTGGATTCATCATCGGAGGTGGATTGCAACTTACGACTGCGTGTATCACGTACCAAATTTCTGTGAAGAAACAAGGAGGAAATTAAAAATAAATGTAATAATATAAGAATAATGGATAAATGTTTCGTGTTTTTAAATAAATCGAGCCACAAGCTGCTATTTTTCATAAAAAGCGATTGAATTTTGTCTTGAATTGTCTATTTTTTTAAGTAAACAGAGTTACTTAAAAAAAACAAACAATTCAAAACAAAAGTCGATTTCATAATTGAAAAAATAGTGGTAGTAACTCATTCGATTTCGTTTTTTGTTTTCAATAAAACAATCATTTTTTACAAAAATATGTATTCAATTGAATTTGTTTTTGAAAATTGTATTTTTACTTACAATTCCTTTTCCAAGGAAGATTTGATAACTTCCACACTCTTGGCGGTGGTCGAATCTTGTTTATTGCAAAACACACAAATTCTGCAGGACGCTGTGGCAGCATCGGTAAGTATGGAATACAAAGCACTATAAGAAAAAAAACATAAAAACAAAAACATGTTTAATAAAATCACAACAATGCATTGTTGTTGTTGTTCTTCGTCTAACTTACTCGGCCACATCACGTATTTCTTTTTGTACTGTCACTGAATCCACAACAAAAGCAATACCCTTCGCCGTGCGTTTGTACTTTTCGAAACTCTTGTCGCGCACTCTATAATGCCCAGGAATATCAATTAGCCTACAGCTTAGATTGCCCTTTTTATAGGTGTCCACATTTTCCGACATTGAAGTGAAAGTCTCGGGGAATTTATTGTATAGAACTTGCATAAATAATGCACTTTTGCCTGCCTCACTGATGCCCGTCAATAGAATGTCTCGTCTGGCGGATGATTTTTTGCGCAAAATTACAAACAATGCTAATGGTGGAGTAATAAAAGGAAAGTTTATTTATAAACATTTCATCAAGATGTGTTTCTTCATGACTTACCAACAGCAATGAAACCCACAATCAAAGCCACCAAAATCGGTGTCATATTTAATTCTGTCAATTTTATGGGTTCTCCCCGATGTGTGGCCCTCTGTGCCTTATCCATGGTGTGCTATTTGTTTAAAAACGAGGTTTTACCTAATATTTTTTGCAAGAAAACAAACTATTTCGAAGATGCATTCCCACTTACGTTTTATATTGGCAATGTACTATGAAGAACAAGCATTTGACAATTTAACGTCATCAATTGTTGGTCGGTTACTTTGGCATTGGGTAATCACATGGCATGCGTTTGACATTAGAAGAGTTGCCAGATTTACGTGGATTTTGGTATGTGGGATAAGTTCAAAAGAGAGTACTGTCGATAGCGAAGTGTAAAAATCTTGGTGGAAATGAGAATAATGGTGCAAAGAATGTCAAAATGGCTAGGAAAAAGAGAAGAGAAACAAAAACATATTTGAAATAAGATAAAGAATGTAAAAGTTGTATGGTAGTTTTAGATAAGAAAGAATTTAATACTGCCTAAGGGAAAATCAAAATCAATGGGGAAATTAAATGTTATTGGAGAAAAAGGATTCATAATCACATATGTAATTAGAAATCAGAGATTTAGCATAAATTATACATAGACTGGGACAAAGTTTAAAATAGAAAAGGAGTAGTAGTAGGAATGGGTAATAACTGGGAAAAATATGTGAAATTTGAAGAGAATATGATGTTTATTTCGCGTTTTATGATCGTTTTGGTTATTCAAATTTGCCACCCTTTGTGGGGAGGTACCAGAAGGAGTGGGCCGATATATCCCATCTTCACAACAGATCTTCTGTTAGTAGAAAAAATGGGATGTGTAAAATATGAACAGAACCGGATGCTTATTTTCGGATTTTATGATCGTTTGGTTATTGAAAACTTTGACCCTTTGTGGAATCCGATCTCTACCATCTTTATAACACATCTTGTGTTGATGGAAATATTGAGCTGCGCCGAGTCTGAATGGAATCAGATTTTAATTTCGCGTCTTATGAGCTTCATAGACATTCAAAAATTTTACCCTCTGTTGGGGAGGTACCAAAAGGAGTAGACCGATGTATCTCATCTTCGCACCGGACCTTGTGTTAGTAGAAATAATGGGACGTGTGTAATATGAAGAGAACCGGATGCTTATTTTGGACTTTATGACCGTTTTGGTTATTCAAAACTTTGACCCTTTGTGTGGGGGGTACCAGAAGGAATGGTCCGATCTCTATTATCTTTATAACAGATCTTGTGTTAACGGAAGTATTGAGATGTGTCAAATCTGAATGGAATCGGATGTTAATTCCGTGTTTTATGAGCTCCATAAATATTCAAAATTTTGACCTTTTGTGGGGAAGGTACCGGAAGGAGTGGGCCGATATATCCCATCTTCATAACAGATCTTGTGTGGATAGAAATATTGAGCTGTACCAAGTCTGAATGGAATCGGATGTCAATTCCTCGCTTTAGGAGCTTCACGGAAACTCAAAATTTTGACCCTTTGTGGGGGAGGTACCAGAAGGAGGGGACCGATATATTCCATCTTCACACCAGATCCTGGGGCTATAAAAATATTGTGATTTGTGTAATTTGGATATAATCGGATACTTACATCACTAGCTGTCACAATAACGACAGTTAACACAGCTGGTAGGACAACGAACTGTCAAACCAATTTTGAAATTGAAAATGTTGAATGAAAAATTATTTAAATTTGCAAAAATTGTTGAAAAATTCATATTATAATAACCTCCGATTAGCGTCGTATAATAAAACATATAAAAATCTACTTATATTTGAAGAAAGTTTTTAAAAATTTTGACATATCAATGTTCCCAAGCTCTACCATGGTGCAGACGCTGGATTTTTAGTTCTGATATTTTAAAATCTGAATCAAATTATGCAGGCTTGGGCCTGCTGTTTGCCATTGCATGATTTTTGCACCTATAGGTGGAAGTTCAAGAAGAAATTCACTCAAAAACTGATTCTATATAGAACATCAAAAAATCTGAATCCATACCCCTTCTGTTTTCTTTTGTGTGTTGCAAAAAAATTATGTCATAAAAATGGAATCTCTAAAATCCTGCCAAAATTTGGATTCTTTTTCTGTGAATTCCTCAAATCAATGAAATTACACGACCTTCATCTTCAAAAACCACACCGTCAAGAAAACCATATGCACATTATTATTATTATATATTGGAATAGTTTTATTTGAAATAAATAACACATATATCCTTTTTAAAGACATATTGTCAAGTAGTTTTCTGATTTTCTGTTATATATTCTTAGGCAAATTTTGAATGCTGTCTCTTGGTTTAATTAATGATAATTGCAATTGATAGCAAGTAGTAGTAGTAGAATACGATTCTTATTACGGAAGATTATGCATGCGATCATTCAGAGAGTTTTAAAAAAAGTAAACATTGAATAGATATTTATCATCATAAGAAAAAACATGTAATACTAGAGATATGATTTTCATAATTGAATGATTTTGCTTCGATCGGTTCATTATCTAAGCTGGTAAAAATTTCTATGCGCATTGCCTGTGTGGTGGGGATTACAATAAATAAAATGGTGCTTGTTTTTTGTAAGAGCATAAATTAAATATAAGCCATATATATTTTTTAATATTGATTGGTTGGGTTTTTTAAGTGAAATTATAAGATAAATTGTATGTAGAAAAAAATATATAAAAGCAAATTTAATTTTGGAAAAGAGTTCGTGTGAACTCAACATAGTCTAAAGCATCTTTAATGGGTTGTCCAGAGCGGGGTTCGATATATGGTTTCATTCGTTGCACACAATAGTCCGCCATGTCCTTGGTAAGATTCTGTAAAAAAATAAAGTGAATGATTTTTATTTCCATTTGTTTCACATTTTTTTTTATAAAACTTACGCAATATAATTCTTCCTTGGTAACATAGGGACGATCGGAGGCAGTAATGGCGCGGAAAGCATTTTCGATTTCTTCGTAGGATTGCACATTCTCGGTTTCCTTGGAAATCATAAATGCAATATACTCCTGCAGTGAAACATAGCCATCGCGGTTGGGATCGACAATATCAAGTATGGCCTCAAACTCGGGATCGGGTTGTCCCTCCTCAACCATGGGCAGATCATAGCCGAGAGCACGTAAGCAGGATTTGAATTCTTGTTGATTTAATTTGCCGCTCTTATCCTTGTCGAAATGTTTGAACATCATGGAGAATTCCTTGAGGGAATCTTCCGAGACACCCGAATGATTGCGTGCCTGGATTTGTTGTTCCAAATTGTGTTGCATTCTCATCGACAGTTGATCCAGCTGATCCCATTGTTGGGCCAAACCGACCGTTGAATGTTCCGTATAGCGATTGTCCAAGATCAAATGTTCTTCGAGTAGGGCGCCAAGTTCTTCGATTTTCTTTAGATCAACACGACGGGCACGTACCTCTGTGGCTTTGACGCGAAGTGCTTCCAGTTGTTGTTCCAAAGAACCGGAACCTTCCATCATCGATGTTCTGTATGAAGATAAAAGAAAATATTTTAGTATTTTTGTTTTGAATGCGAGCGGTTTTGATTGTCAGTGTTGCTTTTTTGTGCTTGGGTTAATATGTTTGGCAGGGTTATATATAGGCTTTTAATATTTATATATTTATAGTAAAAATTATTCTTTCTATAATACATATTTATATAGTGGGTCATCATATATCATTTCTAAAACTACAAAATGTTAAACATCGTATAATTCAATATTTTTATTAATGTGCCACATTTTTGTAAATCCTTTTTCTAACTTGGAAAAAAAAAACATGACGGTTCCAGGGAGATAATAAATTAGGGAAATAACTTTAATAAGGTATTATCTGTAAGTTGTGCAAATGATTATAACTTTGCTCCGAACCTGCTACATTAAAGATTATATGCAATACAAATTATTGAGATTAATTTTGGTCTACCTTTTTTTTGTGGATTATACTTTGGTAGTCGTTTTTTTGTGAAAGGAAAAAATCCAGCAGGTTATGAAAGTAGGGTAGTTTCATAACAGTATTTTGGAAGAGATTAGGAAAAGATCCACCTCTTCGACACTATTGGAAATTTTCGGATTAAGATTCCCTGGAATCCATCCGTTTTGTCCATATAGTGCCTTAAGCAATATTATAGATAACAATACGAGGATTTTTTTGGACTTTTTTCAAATTCAAAATAAAAACCAGTTGGGAAAAGTCCAAAGTGATGTACTTGCTTCTAGACTGAATTCGGTCCGATGTGCCAAAATTCAGGTCATTTGGACTGATATTGGCCATTTGATGCACAATTAACCAGAAATCGGTTGAAGATATATATGGGAGCTATATCTAAATTTTAACCGATTCTCACCAATTTAAATAAGGTTCGTCCTTGGGCCAAACAAATATTGTTTGGAAAAGTTCATCTCAATCGGATTACAAAATTACATGGACCGACAGACGGACGGACGGACTGACATGCATAAATCGACTCAGAAAGTGATTCCATGAAGATCCTCAAAAGTAACTATGGGTCCATCTCGCTTCCTTCCTTCCTTCCACGTTACAAACAAATGTCCAAAGACATAATACCCTTATCACTATGTGTGTGGAGTATAAAAACTCCCTTTAAACGTGGTCATAGCCAATTAAAATATGCTACACATTTTTTCGTCATAAATTTCGACTATGGGTTCCAGAAGACATCAAAAGTATAAATCTAACCTAAACGCCTGGAGTTTATATAATTTAAAAAAAATAGGGTTAATGCCGTACTTTATGTGAGTTTGTGCAAAAACTCCTAGAAGGAATCATTTTAGAAGGATAATGTCAAAGGCAAAATTATTCTGCATAAAATTTCACTTGAAGTCGCCGAAGAAAAGAAATACTTATTTCTATTATATACCCAGAACAAACAAAACAAAAATACTTGCATCAATGTTGCCAAAAAATGCAAAAATTTCTTGATACATTTTTCCTTGGACTTACTTTGAGTTGATCCATGAAAATATCATAAAACTTCGTTTTCGGCAAAATGTGTCAAAAGAAGAAATATTCTACACAAAATTAAACTGTAAGTCTCAGAATAAATCATTTATCTAGGTTTAATAGTTTTCAGGAAAATTAAATTCGAAATTTATATATTACAAGTGAAAATTATGTGTTTACGTTTTTTACTGCTATTTTGACATGTTTCCATTTTAAGGTAAAATCTCCCTTAATACTTCATTTTTTGGGCAAGGTGTAAAACAAAGAAATGTTCTAGATTAAATTTTAATGGGAGTCTCTGAACAAAAGAAATTTGTATTTTCAATATGTACCATAAAAAATAGCATCAAAATTTATATATTACAAGTGAAAATTATGTGTTTACGTTGTTTTTTCTGCTAAATTGTCATGTTTCCATTTTAAGGTTAAATCTCCCTTTATTCTTAATTTTTTAGGGAAAATGTTAAAAAAAGAAATGTTCTATATAAAATTTCAATGGGAGTCATTGAACAAAAGAAATTTGTATTTTCAATATGTACCACAAAAAAATATCACCAAACTTTATATATTTCAAGTGAAAATTATGTGTTGACGTTGTTTTTTACTGCTAATTTAACATGGTTGCCTTTTAAGGCCAAATCTCCCTTAATACTTTATTTTTTCGGCAAGGTGTCAAAGGAAGAAATGTTCTAGATCAAATTTCAATGGAAGTCTTTGGACAAAAGAAATTTGTATTTATAATAAGTACCATAAAAAATATCATAAAAATTTGTATATTACAAGTAAATGTATTTACGTTTTTTACTGCTAGTTTGACACGTTTCATTTTAAGGCCAAATCTCCTTTAATACTTCAATTTTTGGTCAAGGTGTCAAAGGAAGAAATGTTCTAGATCAAATTTCAATGGGAGTCTTTGAACAAAAGAAATTTTTATTCTTAAAATATACCATAAAAATATCATCAACTTTGGTTTATTAAAAATCTTTTTTCATTTTCCACAATTTAAGCACTTTTTTCCGAGTGCACTGCAGATTTTCTTATAATATCCAAAATCCAGTCTGGGTTATGGAAAGTTTCAGGTCGACATGTCAAACTTTATAAAGGCCTTTTTATAGCCTTGACCATATAAAAGGAAATCAATTAATGTTTTTCTTTTTATTCGACCTTTTTATATTAAAACAAATGTTGTTCGAGTTTGAGGTCTTGAGGGAATCCCAATATTTTGAGATATATTCCGCAACATTTAATATGGAGCTTTGAATATTCATAGAGTGGAGCTTATATCATATACCTTCTGTCGGAATATTTTATTTTCCCAAAGAAACCAAAAAACAAAAAAAAGTGTTCAGGCTAATCTATTGGAAAATATGATAAAAACCAAGGGTTCTCTTTCATAATCTGCTAGATTTTTCCTGAATTGTCTTGCAACGTCCTAAAGGGTGATTTTTCTTAATGTCAACCTTGTACGAAATAATCTTCAAACATTAAATTATATGAATCCTACTATCAATTCAAATAAATATTTCAAACATTTTTCTGAATTTTATGTTTTTTTAAAAAACTTGCCCATTTGGATGTTACAAACAAAATAACAAACTTCATACATCTTCCTCTAGATATCGAGGAAGAGACATTTTGAACCTTCCTGTCAAGTTAAAAGTAGTAGTAGATACCTTTTGTTGCATACATGTGAAAATATACGATTACATGCAACCCGGATACAACCCTGAATTTTTAAAAATGTAACGAGGTTGAAGATACGAAGCCAACCTGACAAGGCGTACTAGTTTAAGCTCGTATAATTGATTTTAATAAACGTTTGTGAATTCTTAATTGAATATAAAAACGGTCGTTGTATTTCATTTGAGTATACGGAAACCAACAGACTTCAATCGATCACTTGACATTTTTTTCTCAGAAGTGGGATACGACAAGTCTTATTGGAAGAAGCGTCTACCAACAAGAAATATGGAGAATTTGCACAAATGCACGGTTAAGCAGTTGCAAGCGAAATGCAGAGAAATTGGTGTTTCTCAAAGTGGTAACAAAAAGCAATTGATCGAACGACTTGAAGTCAACAACGAAAGCGAGCTGCACGGATTCGCATCTCCTCATGATATGCAGGAGCGAATTTCGCATTTGGAAGATATGGTAACTGAATTGCGTTCATCTATGGAGCAACGTGGACAATCAGAATTTGAGCCGAACAACGCATCATCCCCTTTGAACACGTTTTCGACACCGGATGGTAATATGTCCCTGCAAGGCACACGGCCTAGCTTGCCAAACGTGGCAAACGTTGTGACAATATTACCGGAATCACGTTCGATTCCATCGTATGTTCAAACGAATACTTCTTTTGGTGCATTTCAGACTACGTCAACAATTCCAACGGTCCACACGTGTGCTTCTGCTGGTTTACCAACGTTTACACCTTCATTGCACGGACATGCTCAACTTCCACGAAATACAACGCAAAATGTAGCGACGTCATGCTACAACGTACCAACACATATAACGACACATTCGAATTTTACAACAGCAACACCGACAGGAGTGTTCACGCAGCCGAACAATGGATATGTTCAATCAACGCAGCCCTACAACGCATATCTACAACCGCCGATATTTGCAACAAGTGTCTATTCAGCGCCGCCGCAGTCAGAAATAGTTATGCAGCCTTCACAACGTTATGTTCAGCACAACCCCTTTGGGAACGTTAAGGAAATAATTCAACTTTTGCCAGAGTTTAATCCGTCATCTGAAGAATCGATTAATCCTTCACAATTCGTGCGACGTGTGGAATTATTGAAGACAGCTTATAACTGGGACGACGCATCAGTTATATTTGCAGTGCAACAGAAAATGGCTGGCCCAGCCAAGTATTGGGTTGACTCACTGCAAGAGGTATTTCTGTCTTGGCCTCAGTTTGTTAACAAATTTCTTTTAGATTTCCCTCAAAATGTAAATGCAGCCGATGTACACATTAGAATGGCACAGACAAAACGGCAGTTCGACGAAACGCCGCAGGAATATTATTACAGAATGTATGCTATTGGAAAACGGGGCAATATAAATGAATCATCCATAGCACGGCATATAGTCAACGGAATTAATGATCAAGGATTGAAGCAGAAAATATCTAACGAGTATATTACCTGTAATCAACTTTTGAGTGACATCAACGCATACTGTAGTTATAACGAGGTAAGAAGAGTGCTGAACCCGATATCGAATAAGACGAAACGTAGCAATGAAAATAGAACTGCCCCAGAAAGGAAAAGCGATGAAAGAGTGAATAAATTCAAATGTTTTAATTGTGGTAATACTGGTCACAAAGCCGTAGACTGCCCAGATCCACAGAAGAAGAATAGATGTACGATATGCAAACGGACTTCACACGGTGCAAGTGAATGTCCAACAAAAACCCTGAACACAAATGTCAACAATATAAGGGACAGCGTAAAGTCCAACGAAATACTATGTAAACGTGTCAAAGTAAAGGACAAGGAGTTTGAGGCATTTATTGATTCGGGAAGTGATCGGAGTCTGATCAGACGAAGTTTTGCAATGATAATTGGCGAAACGGAAAATTGCAGTATGGTTTTAAATGGCTTTGCTGGTGGCAAATACGAGTGCACAAAGGTGGTTAAAGTGCCAATTGACATTGATGAGACGAGTTACGACGTGAACCTTTATGTTGTGGAAAATTCTATGATCCCGAATGATGTTCTTTTAGGTCGAGATGTTTTATGCCAAAAAGGTCGACGCACCATTATTGAAGGAGATGAGTGTTGGATGCAAAACGTAAATGCGATTAGTATCAACGAAGGCTTAACATCTGAAGAGCATAAGAAGTTGCAGTTGAACATTCAAGAAAACCGACAATGTTTTTCAGAAAAGTCAAGCGAATTGGGTAAGTGTAACTTAGTGAAGATGGAAATCGAAGTTACTACTCCAGAACCAATACGATGCAAGCCATATCGACTAGCATTTGCCAAACGTCCTATTGTGGCAAATATTGTGAAAGACTTACTGGATAACGAAATCATAAGGAAATCGAATTCTCCGTATGCATCGGGAATTGTTTTGGTCGAGAAGAGAAATGGTGAACACCGTTTATGTATAGATTATAGACAGTTGAATCGAATAACCGTACGTATAGCGCATCCTATGCCTGTACTGGATGAACAGATTGCACAACTCGCCGGAAATCGTTATTTCACCACACTCGACTTACGTATGGGTTACCACCAAATTGAAGTAGAGGAAGAATCGAAAAAGTTCACAGCTTTCGTGACTTCAGATGGTCATTATGAATTCAACCGGATGCCATTTGGTTTGGTAAACGCACCTGCAGTTTTTCAGGCAACGATGAACCGAGTTATAAGCTTTATGAAACCAGGAGAAGTTTTAGCGTATCTGGATGACGTCATAATTCCCAGTAAAACAGTCGATGAAGGTCTGGACCGAATAAAAAGATTTTTGGATATCCTTAAGAAATGTGGTCTCACGTTACGATTGGCGAAATGTTCGTTCCTAGCCGAAAAGATTTCTTATTTGGGACACATAGTTACACGTGACGGAATTTTACCTGGAGAAGAAAAAGTAAAAGCGATTAGAAATTTTAAGGTACCAACGAATGTAACAGAAGTACGACGATTCCTTGGCCTAACTAACTTCTTCCGAAAATTTGTAAAGGATTATGCAGCCATTACGAAACCTCTTGCGATGTTGACACGAAAGAGCGAAGAGAATAAATTTCGTTGGGACGTACACCATGAAAACGCATTCAGAAGTTTAATCCAAATTTTGTGTAGTGAACCAGTTTTAGCAATCTACGATATGAAAGCAGATCACGAGGTGCACACGGACGCTAGCAGTCTCGGATTAGCAGGAGTGTTATTACAGTCCGATGGTAATGGTAATTGGCAACCAGTGTTTTATTTTAGCCGCCACTGTTCTGAAACGGAATCGAAATATCACAGTTACGAGCTGGAAGTTTTAGCTGTGGTTGAAACGGTGCAGCGTTTCCGTATATATTTACTTGGAAAGCCATTCCGAATCGTCACTGATTGTGCCGCAATTACTAATGTGAAGACAACGAAGGAATTACAACCTCGAGTAGCACGATGGCTGATGAAATTACTTGAATTTGATTGTGAGTATGTACACCGACAAGGGTCACGTATGGCTCACGTTGATGCTCTCAGCCGTTCACCGGATCAGCCACAGACGGAGATTGAACCAGCAGGGTTCATAATGAATATTGATAGCGATGATTGGATTCTCACGATGCAGCTAAACGACGACCACATAAAGAATATTATGAGAGTACTGCGAAATGAATTGAAATCTGAGCAAGAGAAACAGATAAAATCTGAATACTTATTGGAAAAACATCGACTATACCGGAAAACGAAAAATGGACTACGATTGGTCATACCGAAGGCTATACGATGGCGCATAGCTAAATACTGTCATGATGATATTGGCCATTACGGGTTGGAGAAAAGCCTCTCACGAGTCGAACAAACGTTTTGGTTCCCCCGCATGAGGAAATATATGAAGGAGTACATTGCAGCGTGTGTAGAGTGTTGCTACAACAAGGCAAAAGGTGGTAAACACGAAGGAGCTCTACATTTTAGTAATGTCGAACCGCTACCATTTAGGCAAGTACATATTGATCACTTGGGACCGTTTATAAGAAGCAAGCATGGTCATACACATATAGTGGCAATCGCCGATTCCTTTACGAAATTTGTGGTTATTAAAGCTGTAAGGAATACGAAGACATTGCCCGTCATCAACGTTTTAAATGAGGTTAGTGGATACTTTGGTTTACCTCGAAGAATAATTTCGGACCGTGGGACAGCTTTTACGTCAAAAATGTTTGAGGAATATTGCGATCGAAACAATATTCAACACATTAAGAATGCCGTTCGTACACCAAGAGCCAATGGACAAGTTGAGAGGGTCAATCAACTTATCCTGTCTTATTTACGAACTACCACTGAAGAACCGAAGGATTGGGACTCGGCACTTCACGTTTTACAATGGTCAATCAATTCAACCAAAAATTCGACAACAGGTTACAGTCCGAATGAGTTGATTTTCGATTACAAGCCCACCGACTTAATACAAAACCGATTGTTAGCAGCTGTACAAGATGATGTACAAAACGAAGAAATTTCCATCAACGAAAAACGTATCATGGCCGCAGAAAACATCAAAAGCGAACGAGAACGATGGAAGAAAAGATTTGACAGCAAGCATTCGAATCCGAAATTGTATGTGGAAGGTGACTTGATCCTTATACAGAATGAACCACCAGCGACAGGTGAATCCCGGAAGTTAGAACCTAAATACAAAGGTCCATACATAATAGCACGAGTATTGGGCAACGACAGGTACCTGATAGAGGACATTCCTGGAATAAACATCACGAATAGGAAATTCTGTTCCGTATTCAGTTCCGACAAGTTGAAGAAATGGTGTGAATGTTCCCCCGAATTGGATGTTTCAAGCGAAGATGAAGCCGAGGACGACTTCAGGTCAGGAAAGGCCGAGTTGTCAAGTTAAAAGTAGTAGTAGATACCTTTTGTTGCATACATGTGAAAATATACGATTACATGCAACCCGGATACAACCCTGAATTTTTAAAAATGTAACGAGGTTGAAGATACGAAGCCAACCTGACAAGGCGTACTAGTTTAAGCTCGTATAATTGATTTTAATAAACGTTTGTGAATTCTTAATTGAATATAAAAACGGTCGTTGTATTTCATTTGAGTATACGGAAACCAACAGACTTCAATCGATCACTTGACATTCCTATTTCATATTATCTCATTACTCCTTCTTCCTCTATAGGCTTTCTAATCTATTCAGGTTATACTACCTAAAAAAAAACTTTGTTAAAATCGAATTTAAAGCCAATAAAACATGCAACACAAAAGTGATTAAAATAAAGCTTTGCTTAAACAGTTAAAACTATATATAAAAACATAAATTTCTGGACTATAGAATTAATATAAATATTTATATGTGTATATATACAACTCTAATATATAATCATTGTATCTATGTACACCGACTCTTTAGTTGCTCTTGTGTTAGGGTTAACAATGCGAGGCTGTCTTTTCTCATTGCTGTTGTTTGGTTTTGTTATTTTGGAGTAGAGTCCATATAATGGCTAGAATTCCATTGATGTTAGTTTTTAGCATTTGTATAGCTTTGAAAATTTGTACAAAAAAGTTTGAAAAGGTTAAAAAAACGACACATAAATCTTTTGGCGAAGGACAACAGACTTTCAAACATTAGAAAGAACGCTAATGTTTGTTTGCTTGTAAAACAATAAAGAAAAAAATGATTACCCTTGACCATTATAACCCAGCATATAATACCTGGAGGGAAAAAAGTACATAACGAAAATAACAAAAATTCAGTGTCAGGTGCATTTTCAATACGAATAAAGTAGTGTGAGGTGGTGTGTTCGATTGTGGGTGCCACTTAAACCCCGTGCTTCCTTGCAAATGTCTTTTTTTTTTGTAGTTGTACAACTTACCTAGTCTCGGTTAGCCACTGATGGAATAGATTGGCATGTTTAGCGAACTCTTTGCGTAATTTGTCGTTCTCTTCCTGGCGCTTGGCCTCCTTGGCCAATTCGCCATCTCGTTCCTCTATGATCTTTTGCAAATTACGCCAGGTCTCCTCAAGAGCTTCCATGGTGAACCAGGTATATGGGTTGGGTCCAACATTGAAGCTCTTTATCTTTTGGTCAAGAGCTGCCAGGGCCTTAAAATCAGCCTCGGCTGATGATAATGATGCCTGGAATTGGGCATGGGCCTCGCGTAACGCGCGAATTTCTTCGATCGAATTGCAACGAACAGGATCGGTAAGATCTTCTTCGGCATTTTCGAACCAAGAATTAAAGGCCGAGGCCTTCTTGGCGAATGTCAAGTAGAGTTCTTCGATTTGACGGAATTGCTCCTGCATGGCCAAGAGGCGTTGCTTACGGGTCTCGGAGGCATCACGCAATTTCTGCCAGCGTGAAATCACATCTTCGTGACGTTTCAAAATGGCCGGGGATTGGGCATGATTGGCATTGATAAGTTGATCCTTCAAAGCGGTAATGTTATGTATACCTTCTTGTTCGAAAGCATTAAGACCTGAAAGAAATCAGAAAAACAAAACAGATTGTAATGCCATCCAAGAAAACTTTCCAAAAATACAACTCACCAGCATCGAATGTCTCCTGTTTGGTCAGCAATGTTTGCACAGTCGAAAGATCACGTCCATACTCATCGGAACGCACATAGTTCTCCTTATCGGCAATCCAGGATTCCACAACATCAGCCTTCCACATGAACTGCAAATAGGCGGAATTGTCCAACAACGAACCCTTGCGTCTGGCAGCCAAGGCATTCAAATTGTCCAATTTGTTGCGCAGTTGTTGGCAACGTTGGCTAATGGAATCGCCATGATGATTCTTGGCCTCAACCAAATCACTGCCCTGTTCACAGATCAAGGCACAACGATCCTTGTGGGCAGCAAAGTCAGTCTCAAAGGCATCGTGTTTCTTCAACAGACCCTGTACAGCAGCCATGGAATCGCCGTAATCGTCAACGGACAACAATTGTTGTTTCTCGGTAATCCAGGCCTCTTCCTCCTCTACTTGGGCCAAGAACTGTTGATAGGTCAGGGATTCATCCAATTTCTGGCCACGAGTGGCAGCCAAATTCTTCAATTCAGCCCAAGCTTGATTCAAGGCCTTGAGACGTTGTTCAATTTCGGGTACACCCAAATTGGAAACATCCATTAATTTCTCACCGGCCTCTTGAACAGCTTGAATGGCTGGTTCATGCGAAGCCAATTCAGCCTCAAGACGCTTATGTTTCTTCTTCAAGTTTTGGACACCGGTCAAATCACGGCCATAGTCATCAGAACCAACCAACAATTTCTTTTCCTTGATCCAACTTTCCTCATCGGCAATGTCACGGAAGAATTGATGCAAAGTCAAGGCCTCATTGAGTCGGGCTTGGCGATGGGCAGCCAAGTTGCAAATGCGTTCGTAACGTTCATTGATGCTCTGGCGTTTCTCTTGAATGCCGGCACTGTCGAATTGGCCACTTTCAACCAAGGAATCGGCTTGTTTGTTCATGTCCTTGATGCGATCTTCATGGGCCACAATATCGGCCTCAACCAATTGATGTTTCTTCATGAGATTTTGTACGGAAGCCAAGTCCTTGCCGGCATCCTCGGTGGTCAACAAAGATTCAACTTCACCCAACCAGAAGTCCAAATCCTTGACGGCAGCAATGTAGGTACGTTGCTTGTTGGCCTCCTTCAGTTTCAACGATTTCTCCGTGGTCTTGTGGGTCAGGTATTCCCATTGGTCGGCAATTTGGGTAAGTCTCTTTTGAACAGCATCTTCAGAACCGGAACATTGTTTCTTGTCAATCAAATTCTCACCCATGGCCAAGACGCTTTGGATACGATCAGCATTGGCAGCCAATTCGGCTTCAAAGGCTTGATGTTTCTGGTGTTTGGATTGAATGTTGGCCGGATCCTTGTAACTCTCCTCGGTGGCCAATTGCAATTTCTCGGCAATCCAGTTTTCGATTTCGTCAGCATCACGAGAGAATTGTTGTAGCGTCTGTTCATCTCCCAAACGGGAACGTTTGGTGATAAGGCCATCCTTCAAATGACGCCAGCGTTCCAAGACTTGCTTGCGCTTGTCATCAATTAAGTCAGAGGCATAATGATTTTGATTGATCAAGGTGTCGGCTAAGACTTGCAAGGCGGCAATCTTCTCCTCATGACCATTAATGGCCTTGTCGAAATCTTCGTGTTTCTTGATTAAAGCCTCAACATTGTCACCTCTGTCATCAACATCATCGGCATTGAGGAAGGCTTCACGCGCCGACATCCAAGCTTCGGCCAATTCGCAGTCACGCATGTACAATTGCAAATCAAGGTTTTGTTCCAATTGCAAACGACGTTCGGTCCAGGCCTTTTCCAATTCTTCGCGGGTCTTGGCCAAATCTTCGATTTTCTCCTTAATTTCGGGCGAGGCATAGTGGTTGGCTTGCAACAGCTCAGTGCCAAATTGTTCGAAGGCAGCGAAGGTACCAGCTCTGGCATCGATTTCGGTACGATGTTCCTAGATTTCATAGAAATCATCGAAAGGGTAGATTTGAAGAGAAAAACATTGGAATTAATAAAGGAAACCATATCATCAAGGTTTAAGCAGTAATTATCCCAAGGTTAGACAACAACAAGTATAAATACAATATTCAAAATATTTGGTTATTTAAAACAAAATATATAAAACAACAACACATATTTGAGACCACACAGATTGAGACCACAATTACACGTACACACACACACAAGGAGCAGCCCCCCTTTCGGTTATTCTCTTTGCAGCGTAGCAACAGCAACGTTGTTATTCCAAAGGTGATGAAAAGTATTACACATGTATGATAGGATGAGATTGTGTACAATATATGTATGTGTGATTGTTATAATCCGGACTGCATTGCTATGATTTGTGTCAAATATAAAGGGAGGTTCAATATGACAGGGTCATCTTTAAAACGAAAGTTTTCCGTTATGATGGTGGGTGCAAGATGCATTAGGGAGTTGATGCTGACAGAGTAGTTCATTTTAATACAAATATTTTTAGGTAATGGAAATAAGGTACAGACGATTGCTGATTTTGTGTGATGTTGAATACAAATGAGGTGATGATAGACATGTGAAAACTAAGAGATTTGAACATTCGTTTTCTGCGAGTGTCAGATATACTCTAAATAATTGGTAACCTAAGTATTCAAGAGGAAAAAAGTCATATCGATTGATTCAAATAAAAACTCAAGGATGAATCGCCAATTTAATACCAACTGCAGGATAGAATTTATAACCCGGGAGTGAAAACTTTAAATACTAAGTAGTAAAACAATTCAGTAGAGGACATTATAGTGCAGTAACTGATGTTGAACCACAATATGAGAAGGAAGATATATCAGTAACAAAATACTGAAAGGCGCGACATAAAATTTTCTTATTATCATCCCGGATGCGTACCCAGATAACTTATTGTGGAAAACTATCCAAAGAATATATTGGTGGTTTCTAACAACAGGGTGTCCTTGTACGCCTATCGATGTTGTTAGTAGCAGACAGGGTACCTGCTGCATTTTAGTGAAGCTGCGTTGACACGTTTGCTCTTTCACTGAATATATGGTGTATGTAGAATATTAAATCAACACACCTGCTCCCCGTGTCGCATCCCTTGGCTTCATAAGCCAGAATTGCCACAAGCGCTCTAATACCCCCACTTTTTATGAAGACTTCTGGCAGTTCTTCTCCTACGAATAAAAACGTAATATTTCCACTGAAGTTCTGGTAGTTGACGGCATCCCAAATTCTTAAATATGTAAGGAGGGAGTTTTTACCTAAGCTATCGGCTGGTTTTAATTGAAAGATATTAAGTGTGGCCGAACTTCTAATACCCTGGGTAAAGAAAACATTTTTAAACAAAAGTATCTGGATTCAAACGCATTCCACATTAAACTACAAACTCTAGTAACATCGGCAGGAGAATGGCTTTAGCCGTTATATGGGGGCCATACTAAAACGGGACCCTATATAGACATTTTTATACTACACCGATTTTAAGCTATTCTGGGTCTTAAATACCAAATTTAACATAATTTTGTGGATAAATGTAAATAAAATGACTGAGACCAATTTGGACAATGTTTTGACGCCGATAGGAAGTACAAATACAAAATTTCACACAAATCTATTGGAAAATGTAGCTTGTGGCCAAAATACCAAATATCCAAATATTTTTTTTAGATAAATCCGTTGAAAAAATGTGACAAAAAATATCAAAATACCGAATATCTGGAGGTATCTTTATATGGAGGCTATATGAAAACGTGGACCTATACAATGTTCCGCCACCGGAGCTAGAACTCATAACGAAATATACAAACACCAATTTTTAGACAAATCCGTGGAAAAAATGTGGAAAAAATCATGAAGATACCGAATATCGGGAGGTACTGTTATTTACAATGTTCCGTCACTAGTGCTAGAACCCATAACGAATTTTTAGACAAATTGGTGAAAATATGTGGCTAAAACTATCAAAATACCAAATATCGGGAGGTACCGTGAACCGATATATCTTATTTTCAATACCAACCATCCAAGACACATAGCAAACCGGCTGGCTGGCTAACACGACTTCCCTGGCTGTTTTGAATGATATTGGCCATTTGGTGCACAATTAACCCGAAATCGGTAGAAGATATATATGGGAGCTATATCCAAATCAGAACCTATTTTGATACAATCTTGAAGAGGTCCTCTAGGGCTGTATCTGATATCTGGTACCAAATGCATTTTACGAATGTGAGGGATTTAAACTCCAAATTGGATGAAACATAAATATGGGAGCTATAGCTATATCTGAACCGATTTTCACCACATTTGATGTACTTGCTTCTAGACTGAATTCGGTAGGATGTTCCAAAATTCAGGCCATTTGGTGCACAATTAACCCGAAATTGATTGAAGATATATATGGCATCTATATCTAAATTTGAACCGATTCTAACCAATTTCAATAGAGTTCGCCCTCGGATCAATCGGATAATAAATGCGACCTGAATTTTGTTCACAAGAATACATGGACAGATGGACTGACATGCATAAATCGACTGAGAAAGTGATTCTATGAAGATCCTCAAAAGTAACTATGGGTCAATCTCGCTTTCTTCTCCATGTAACAATCAAATGCACAAAGACATAATACCCTTACTATGTTGGTGTAGGGTATAAAAATAATCTCACCATTAGTTTCAATCTCTTAAAAAAGAGAAGTCCCATTCCCATAAAATAATCTGTTTTGGAGACTTGCTTTTCAGCTACATTTGATGGATAGTCTCAAACCATTCATGTCCAATTTATCTTTCTAACCGTATAATACCAATATCTAATCAGCTGTCTCATATCCTGCATGTAAATTTATTGCTCTGTTTAGTTTTATTTTTTATAAAATGTTACTTTTATTTGCCTTATAAGGGACTTCGAAATATTCGACGCGGTTGAATTTAATGTCGTTTACCGACTTTCAAAAAAAATCGGATCGATCACATTACCAAGTACCGTGACCTCAGTCTATTCTATGACAACAGAAGAACAGATACGAATGATATACAAACGATGTATTCCTGGCTTTTCTTCATGAAAAATGGAGACCACAATAAAAGTAAGTTAGATATCGTCCATGAGGAAGTCATAAATAAAATATATACACAAATGATAGGCATCATATCAGGCTGACTATGGGATAAATGAATGAAAGGTAGCAAGTCTATACATAGAGCAATTTTAGCGTCAGCGATTTTCTATTGCAAAACATTAGGAATGACATGAAAACAAATTACGAATTTACTGCAATTAGGAAACCATTAGGTTACATATGGAATGGTTGCGGATGATATGCAATGGATACATACATACATACGTGGTGACATGAAAACGTTGTGTGCATTTATGATGATTGATTACAACAAATTGGCTAGCCAGCAGCATGAAAATTTGCAGCAGCAATTAACAACATTGATAAAAAAAAGTATACAAGAATTAGAGGAAAGGAATCCCAAGAAGAAAAATGAATCAAAAAGGAAACACAAGGAAATGATAAAACACAAACTTATAAAAAAAGGGAACATAAAGAAATAATGATGCACATGTGTTATGGAAAAACTACCTCTTCTTTTGGTGTTGGATGGAAGAAGCTTTTGGCGCTACTATTTCCAAACATGTATTCGATTTCGGAACGATGAGCCTAGGATAAGAAAACACACACGCCACACAATATTTATATAGATATTTATGTAAATGCAGTAATAATGTAATGAAGTTTTGTTTTTTTATATATATATTTATGGTCATGATGAAATTTGTAGTTGTTGTGGTTGTTGTTGCAATAAAATTACAAAAGTTGTCAATGAGAAAAGGCGCACACAATATGTCGATAGATATATAGAATATGGTTCAGGTTGGGTGGGTGTGGTTGCACGGTTTTATAGTCGAATTGTTTGGTGTTGTAAGTGTAGTTGTGATGAAATCAACGACGGCAACGACGACGATGATCACGACGACGATGGCGAGGCGACAACAATATCCACCAAAACAACATTTCCCACATTTCAATGAAAACGACACCATGGGAAATAGATCACATCATAATTACCCGCCACACACGTTTTGATGATGATATAAAGCCACAAACAAACAAAAATATATATTTATAAACCACCATCGGTATTGTGTTGATTGAATAACTTTTAAAGCATTTGCACGGCTGCTAATTGACCTCCCAGCACTGGGGTCAGTTTGATCTTTTACCATCCCCAGCCCATTCACAGTAAATACGTACGTATTTCCGTCTAACAAATAGCATAAGCCTATCAAATAAAAACAAACATCAACTCGAACAACTTACCTGATGTCTTTCAATAAGGGCTTCAGCTCCGGTCACATCATTGGCCAACTCATCGGAGGTAACCAAACTCATCATGGAATTAATCCAGGCCAAGAGATCACGATAATCACTAAGGAAACGTTGCAAATCATAAGAATCCAATAGTTTCTCTTTGCGAGCCGTTGCCTTGGTAATAATTTGATCCCACATTTCGTTGATCTCCTTTTGCTTGGCATAGGTTTGTTCAGCGGTATCGGGATGCGATTGCATCAAACGATTGGCAGTCTCATCCAGTTGGCGAATCTTATCACGCAAGGCAGCCAAGTCACGTTCAACACCCTCATGTTTACGTTGCAAAGTTTGTACGCTACGCAAATCCTTGCCCAAATCATCGTTGTTAAGGGCATTCTCCTTTTCGGCAATCCAATCCTTGGTCTCATCAATGTCACGATGGAAACGTTGCACTTCATGGGCCGAACCCAATTGGCTGGCCTTTTCGGCAGTCAATGTTTGCAAATTATTCCATTTCTCATTCAAATCTTGCATTTGGGTTTGAATCTTCATGGCAGCCTCGGTCTGACCCAAGGAGGTCAATTGAATGGCAATTTCATTCATGTTGGCCAAACGAACCTCATTGGCCTTAAGGTCATCATTGAAGTCATCGAATTTCTTTTGCAAGACCTCAACCTCCTCCAAGTCTTCACCCACAACATCAGCAATTTGGGCATGATTTTCCTTGTCCTTAATCCAGTTGGCCAAATCGGCGGCTTCACGTACCAAAACATAGGCCTTGACGGTTTCGTTCAATTTATTTTGACGTTCGCGGGCCAGAGTCAACAAGTTGTCGTATTGAGAGTTAATTTGGGCTTGGCGCTTGGCAATCGAGTGGTTGTCAACCAAATTCTGTTGGCTAGCACTAAGGCCGGCTTCGATTTTCTTAATATAGGCAGCTGGGACAAATCCTTGACGATCATTAACCTCCACCTTCCACCAGTCCTTGTTGTTGGAATTCAAAAGGGTCAAGACATCACCCTTCTTCATGGACACCTCACGTGGGCTCTTCTCGGTGTAGTCGTACAGGGCCACAACACATTCCTTGCCGGTAATGTCCACAACGGGGGTCTCCTGTTGGCGACAGTTCTTGGCTTGCTCCTGCAAACCTTGGATGGTATTGCCAAAGGCCTCCAAATCCGACACCAAAGCTTCATGTTTCTTCAACAAAGCCTCCGAAGAGTCCTCATCCTTGCCATAGTCATTGCCAGTGGCAATGGGTTCCTTTTCACGCATCCATGACTCAGCCTCATTGGCATCGGCAAAGTATTGATGGGCCTGCAAAGAGTCATCCAAGTCCTGTTTACGTTGATTGGCCTTTTCCTTCAAGTTGTTCCATTGTTCCTGCAAGGCATCGACACGTTGGCGAATATCTTCGCTGGCGAAGGGTTGATCCTTCAACATATTCTCGCCCGAGCTAATGACATTCAATAGTCTGGGTTCATGGTTGTTGATTTCAGCCATAACAGCTTGATGTTTCTTGATGAGATTTTGGACACCAATCAAATCGCGACCACGGTTGGTGGATGCAGCAATGGGTTCCTTTTCTCTAATCCAGGCAGCTTCATCCTCCAAATCACGGAACAATTGTTGCACTTGCAATGAATCGGTCAAGTGTTGCTTACGCTCAGCCATGGGAGCAGCCAAGGCGGCGTAACGGGTGGACAAATTGTTCTCCTTCTGGCGAATATTGTCGGCATCGAAATGACCCGACTCAATGAACTTGTTGGCAGCTACCTTAATGCTTTCAATACGATCCTGGTGGGCCATGACATCGGCTTCCAATAGGGCATGTTTCTTTTGCAGATTTTGAACTGAAGTCAAATCCTTGCCATGATCTTCGGACAACAATTGTCCCTCGATTTCGCTCAACCAAAGTTCAATATCTTCAATGGTACGATTGAATTGTTGTTGTTGGCAAGCCTCGTGTAACTTGCAACCCTTCTTGTCGGAGGCCTGGACCAAGGTTTCCCACAACACAACGATTTCCTGCATGCGGGTATTGATTTGATCGGCAGCATAATGTTCCTTTTCGATAAGTTCAGTGCCCACAGTGGTGATGTCTTCAATGCGTGACTTGTTGGCATTGAGTTCATGTTCAAAGTTTTGGTGTTTTTGCATTTTGCCATTCAAATTGGTGGGGTCCAAGTAGCTGTCATCAGTGGCAAACTTCAATTTCTCACTGATCCATCCCTTGGTCTCGTCGCAATCACGTTCGAATTGTTGATAACGGTTGGAATCTTCCAAGAGTTGACGACGTCTGTTGGATTTCTCCAAGAGGGCAGAACGACGGGCCAACAACATTTGACGGCGTTGAGCCACATCGTCGGCAGCATAATGTTGGCCATCGATGAGCTTGGTGGCGAAAATGTCAAGGGCCTTGATCTTCTCCTCTTGGGCAGCCAAACTCTTTTCGAAATCCTCATGTTTCTTGATCAGGGCTTCGACGGAATCCAAAGAATCGCCCAAATCTTCATTGGCCAAGAAAGCCTCTTGTTTGGCCATCCAGGTATCGGCCTGTTCAGTGTCACGATAGAACAATTGCAAGTCCATGCATTGCTCGTAGAGGATACGTCTCTCCTCCCACAGCGAAAGCAAAGAGCTCTTGTCATTTTCCAAAGCAGCCAATTTCTCTTGGATTTCAGCAGCGGCATAATGTTCACGTTCCAAAAGTTTTTGTCCCGATTCGGTGGTCAAACGGAAACTATCTTCACGTGCATCAATTTCACCCTTATGCTCCTGATGACGTTCCAAAAGAGCTTCGGCGCCGGCCACATCCTTGGCCAGTTCATCGGCCGAAATTATGGCCTTCATGCCATTAATCCAGGACACTAAATCACGGAAATCGGCCAAGAAACGATGCAAGAAATAGGATTCATCCAATTTTTGTTTACGTTCTCCAGCCTTGGCCTTTAAACTTTGCCAATAATTGGCAATTTCAGCTTGTTTGTCACGGATCTGATCGCTGTGATCGGCGTGGATGGAACACAAACGTTGGGCTTCAGCACCCAATGTGGATACCTTATCCTCTAAAGCTGCCAAATCACGTTCAACACCTTCGTGTTTACGTTGCAATGCCTGGACACTGGCCAAGTCACGACCATAATCATCCGAAGAGAGGACAACATCCTTCTCTGCAATCCAGGCAACAGTCTCATCGGCATCACGATTGAAACGTTGGATTTCATGGGCCCCAAATAGCTTCTCTTGGCGTACAATGGCCAGTTGTTTCAAACGCTGCCAAGCCTCATTTAGGTCATCTTTGCGTTTGGTAATCGTATCACGATCAGGATGGGCATCCTGAATCAATTTATCGGCCAATTGATTGACCTCCGTCACACGGTATTCCTGGGAGGCCATATCCTTTTGGAACTCATCGAATTTGCGTTGCAATACCTCAACATGTTCCAAATCCTGACCGAATTCATCGGCTGTAACAAATGCCTCCTTGTCTTTGATCCAGAACATAACCTCTTCGCATTGGCGCAAGAATTGCACAAGCACCAAAGCCTGTTGCAATTTCTGACCCTTTTCGGCCAAACGGCTCAACAATAACTCCCACAAACGATGCAGTTCGTCGAGACGACGGCGTATGGTTTCCGAGGCGAAATGATTTTGATTGATCATTTCCTGGCCGGTATTGTCCAAGGAGACAATGGCATTGCTATGGGCCGATACCTCAGCCTCAAAGGCTTGATGTTTTTGAATTTTAGCCTGGAGATTGGTGGGATCGCGATAGCTCTCCTCGCTAGCTGCCTGTAGTTTCTCATTGATCCATGATTCCAATTCGTCGGCATCACGCTTAAAGTATTGGAAACGACGTGAGTCTTCGAGTTTCTCACGCTTTTGGCGTGTTTCGATTTTAAACTCATTGTAGCGTGAAAGAACCTGTTCACGTCGCTCTTGAATGTCCTCGACGGTTTCGAGGATTTTTACCTCCTTGGGAGTGAAATTCTCCATGGTCGTTCGCAGTGGTTTGTAAAAAGTCAATACAAAAAATTGGGTCGTTCTGCAAAGAAATGGGAGGAGAAAGAGAGAGGGGGTTACAAAATCGGGTTATTTTTTTTTTTGTAAATTGTTCTTCTTTACTTACCAAAATTTGCTCTCGTTGTAAAAATACTGATATCTTTCCTCTGAGTTGTTTTTCGATATTTTATCGAATCGAATTCGGTTTTAGCATACCTAGAATGAGAACAGAACAACAAATGAAACAAATTAATTTCAATTCAAAATTACAATGGCAATGAAATCCAATTAGACCACAGATAAGCGAGAACAACCGTCAAGTGAACAATAACGATTGTGGCAACGTTTCGGAGAGAAATGACACCAAATTCCATTGCTCTTAAGCCAGCGATTACATAATTTTCACAACACACACCAACAACAAATCGCACTCGAACGCCGCTGTGGATGGATGATGTACGACTGCTGCTTGAATACAACACCACGACCCAACACAGCAAACAAATCCATAAAAAATTATCCAGAGAGTTCATGATGATGAGTTCATTCAATTTGAGTATGGGTCGAGAAAAGTGAGCAAATATACTGCACCCCACTCTCTCCCCCCTCTCTTCTTCACACAAACTCAGTTGTTTGTTGCTTTCATATCTTTCAAGTGTCATACAAAAACACGACGACCTCAGCGGAAAAAATCCATGTCGAGAGTTTCGAAGAGCGTATAAAGAGCATATGGAAAATAAGAGCTCATATGTGAGAACACCTCTCCCTCCCTTTCAACCAACCGTCATAATGGCTTTATTATTGTTTATACAAATTAAATTTGTGCCATTAAATTTGGTTTCTTTTTCGAAAGAAAAACTTTCGTGCGAAGTTCTTACCATTACCGCACCCTATAACCGAATGAGCACAGCACAGCGGCGGGCAAAACTCATAGAAAATTTGCCGTGACTGTTATGAATTTCAAAAGTGTTCAGTGTGTGTTTAATTTAATAGACTGCCATATAGGAATGTGTGAGTATGCTGTCATAGTTAAACTTGGCGATAAATTTGAAAAAAGTGTTATTCTTGAACTGAAGATATGACGCACTCCAAGCCTATTTTATCAGTTTTTCAGACGGGGGAAAAGGCAGCAACAACAAACATAACTTGGAAACCTTATCAATTTGCACGGTGTACGGCAACAAAAATTCGTTCAAGATATTTACTAAAACCCTAAATACCTCACGAACAAATACATATTTTAGTAATAGTCATATAACCTTCAATTTTTTATTTCAAAATAATCTTATTTTGTATTTTTTCAAACAGTGGGAATTCATACATGAGTTTTGGAACACTTCTATAAATTCCATTTCGTGGAGAGTTTTGGAAACCAGAGTTACAAAGAGATTTTTGAAACTGAATTACACCAATCACCAATTGCACAATCTAGAATATTATTTAAGAACTGTATTTTAATTGGGGTACAAAATATTGATTTGTTTTACCCTTCACTGTTAAATTAGGGGTATATTAAATCTGTCCCACACCTCGAAATATTCGTCGGAGATCCCAAAAAGTATATATATAGTCCTTATCAGCAAAAAACCAGTAGCCAAAGTCGGGCGGGGCGGACTATATAATACCCTTACACCACTATGCTTATTTTGTAGAGCTCCCATAACAAAAGAATTTATTTAAAGTAGATCATACCTCCTATCAACCTTTAAACGAATATATATGGGAGGCATATCCAATTCTGAATCGATATTCACTAAATTTGACGGAGACATTTTAATATCAAATAACATTGCTATAGAGTGCATGATATCACTTCGAGAAGGATTACAGGGTGAGATGAAAAAACTGCAACCAACTTCAGACTGCTGTCATTTCTAAGTCACTCGTCCGACAGCTGTTAAATTCCAGTGACAGCTCATTATATTGTTTACGAGCATACAAAAGCATTTTGGTGAGAATTTTCCAGAAAAAAAGTTATTCGTGATGGAATTCAAGCGTGATAATGTGATTTCTTTATATTTGGCTGGAAAACCACATGTGGCTATCGTTAGAGAACTTCAGCATTTTAATGTGAATAAATCTTTTGTGTCTCGTACCATAGCTCGTTACCGTGATACTGGTAGCGTAGCCCGACGTCAAGGAAGTGGACGGAAGACAACAGAAAACATTCGTTGTCCAGCAGTTTGTAAAAAAACAAAATGATCGTGTTTATTTGCCAAAGAGGTCAGCTGAAAATGTGCACCTTCGGTTGGCCACCATAACTTAAGCCCCGCCCATGGTGATGGTATGGGCCGCCATAACAGGTCGCTCTCCCCTCGTATTAATCGCCCGTGGCATCAGAATAAATGCCGAATATTATCGCGAAAATATTCTGGAGGGTGTATTAAAGCCTTGGATACGCAAACATGGCCGCAGACCTTGGACATACCAACAGGACTCATGAGGTTACTCGCTCCATTTCCAGCGCACAATGGCCACTAAAGTCTCCGGATACCAATCCGTTGGAATCGCTCCGGAATCGGTCGACGATATATATGGAAGCTATATCCAAATCAGAACCGATCCTAATAAAATCTGGCAGAGGCAATTCTGGGCTGTATCTGATACCAAATATCATTCTTGTCGAATGCATAATACGAATATGGGGGAACTTAAAATCCCAAATCGGATGAAACATGTATACAAACAAATGCACAAAGACATAATGCCCTTACCACTATGTGTTGTAGGGTATAAACACCATTTACTATTCTGAAATCCTGTTAAAAAAAATTCGAAGTCACATGATGTTTTGTATAAACGGTTCGGTATATAAACAATAACAATTTTTCAAAACCCCTTTGAAGTATATGATGCATTAGTTAATATTTGTTTACTTTCAAAACACATTCTCTTTTTTAACCAACCAACCACAAAAAAAAATAAAAAAATTTCTAACAACAATAATTGTTTTTTACAAAAATTTGCCTTTTGAGCAATAAATGGAAAATAGGTTTATTTAAGAAAAAAATTAAAATGAATAAACTTCTAACTAATTAATATAATTAAAACACCTTCAAACTTAATATAAATCAATATCTCTCGACAAATCAGCCAACATATCCATAAACAAATTCGATTTTTCATCATCATCCTCGTCGTCGCCGCCGCCGCCAATGCTATCATCACTGCAAGTGTTGGAAACATCCTTTGTATTCTGGGCAATATTTCTTAACATATTTGAAATTTCATTCAATTGCTGGGGATGCCAATCATATTTGAAAATATTCACAAATAGACTATTGGTGTAACTCAAGGAGATGACATGTCTCCGTATCATGGCAATGAGTAGGGTACCAAATGCTGTATAACATTCTGAGCGTAAGGCTAGAGTTTGGAGGAAAGCTATTGTTACCAGGCCATCATAGGCGTTGTTAGGTGCAGGGGTGGCAGATGACAGTTGTTGTTGTTCTTCGTCTGTATTTTTTGGGGAATTTTGGGATGATGTTTCCAATGCCTTGCGCATATTTGGATGGATTAATACCTGACAGGATGCCTCAATTAATTCCGTTGTCAAATGTCCACAATTTGCGGTAATGATGTGCTGTAATAGCTGTATAATATTGGTGGCCATCAGACGATATAAAATTGTGGGCAATACATTTTCGAATGACTGCACGATGTTATGCATGAGATCAACAATGGGCTTGGAATCCTTAAATAATTCAATGCGCAATGAAGTACAATGTAGCCAATATTGAAGGTTGTCGATTAGCTCCGACACTCTGGGCACTTCTTTGACAATTTTCAGTTCCGACGGCTGTTTGGTCTTATTGACCGAACACAATTTATTGGCCATCGATTGGAGTTCCACACAAAAATAGTTATCCCTTAGGATGTTGCCATAAAACCATTGACTAATCTTTTTTTCGGCATCATTTTTGATCAGCATGAAATAGGTTTTCTTTAGAATATTTGGCGTCTCTTCGGGCAGCAGACTGTCCAAGGAGTTTTTAATGCGTTTATCCAACATTTTTGGTATCGCCTCATTCCATTGCGCTATGGCATCCCGTCGAGCAGTGGCATAGATTTTTGTGATTTTATTCAAGACCACAGGATAGTCGCAGGAGCAGATTTCGTTTACTTCACTGTCCGCATTACTTTTGGCGGGTAGCAATATTTTCAGTTGGCCATCTTTGACGACACATTTGTAGGCCCTTTCGGCACAAAAGCCAAGCATTTGTCTTGTTGACGAATTTTGGACCTGGCGAAAGGCCTGCATGAGATTTTTTTGTGTTGTCTTGGAAGTGTCCAGCGGAGAACCCAGAGAGGATTTGTTGCCCTCCTTGGCTGCAGGCGATAATTCTGCCAGTCTTGTTGTAATGTGACGATATCGTCCCGTTCTTGAGGCATATTTTGTTTGGGCGTATTTGGCTGGCATAATGGATACTCTGAATTCACCCAAAAATGGACAGGCCACGGGCAGTAGTGATTCCAAAAGAGGATTTAAATTAAGTTCCGCACTGCTGGGGCATATCTGCTGGTGCTGGCCATCTTCTTGGCCACTCTCCAATTTAGCCTTTAGATAATCCAAGATTTCTTTATTCTCATTTAGATCCGAGCGAAATTGATAGTATTGCTCTATTAGGTACTGTTGGGAATCAAATAACCAGCCAAGGCAGGAGGCTATCATAAAACATGATGTTGGGTTCAATGAAGTCTTGCCAACATTACTGCCACCCAAATACCAATACAAGGCAAACATTAGTTTCAAAGTTTTTATGTAGATCTCCAGCTGTATGGTAATGCTGTCCAGCATACATAGGTATTGAACCATCCATGGTATGGTAATTAATAGCTTTCCCTGTTCTATGCCTTCCTGTAGTACTGTGTGTAGATCGAATCCAGGCTGGATTAAAGATCTTAGGCGTAGCTGTTTCTTTTCCATGGCGGGTGGTATTACGACATTGCTGCCATTCGCCTGACTGACAAATGGCATGCAAATGGTGAATCCCAGAAATTTGGCCAAAATTAACATGGAATTTAAAACGTCTGGTCTCACGGCCACCTGTTCATGCTGGCCCATATCGGCAATCAATGAATTATCATTGTTATCTGGCTCATTGTCGGCCTTGGTGATGCTGATGTGATCAAAGGTGGAATCGTTCAATGACAACAGTTCACTGTAAAGTTCCATTTTCAGTTGTTCCACAAATGCCAAGGAGCGGGAATTTAAAATGAAATCACGAAAAAATGCCTGGGCTCGAGGAAACTGATAGTCAACACTAAATTGACTTGGAGCAATTAGACGTTGTGTTAGCTTGGAGAATTTCTGCAAATCCACTTCTAGGCCAATCTCTTCGGGTGTGGCAGCACTTGAGGCCGACAGCAGTAGTTGGGAAACAAACAATTTTGCAAAATGGGCCATATTCACACAGTTCTCGGACTGTTGGAAAATTTCTCGTATAATGGGTTTAATTTCCACGGCAAATTTCCAATTGGGATTTAAGTGATTGGCCTCCCACAACTTAAGGCACTTGCAAAACAAATCTCGTTGTGGTCGAAAATTGGCAAATTCCTGTTGGGAGGTAAAGTTGTGCCGTGAGTCCTGTTCATGTTGAAAATAGACATTATTCTGCCCAGTCGTTTTTGTATCCAAACAGAAGGAGGCATCATGCATGGGATTTTCGGCAATTATTTGTTGTTTCCGCTGATAGATGTCCAGCAAATAGCTACGAGTGGCCTCAGGAAAATAGGAAAAACGTTCATTGGTTAACACAACCTTTAAAGTTTTACTATCCAGCTGGACTAAACGTTCCTTTAGCTGACACAGGCTGAGCAAGGCAAAATAAATGGCATAGCGTAAATTTTCCAAACATTGTAAAATCTTAGATGGGTTTGTTTCCGTTTCTTGCAATTCGAGTTTTTTGAAAGCATCAGCCACAATATCTGGGGAAACGGATGGCATGGCATTCAGGAGATTCAATAGAAATGACAAATCATTCAAAAAATTGGTGGTCAAATGATTGTCGATTAAAATTACATAAATATCAGCCAGTCTGTGTAGTAATTTATTCTCTGCCAAATCTTCAAAATCCAAAGACATATCATCCATGGCCAAGAGATTTTTGGATTTTGTGGGAGTACTTGCCACCACAAGGCCTGATGATGCCAGAGCATTGCCTGGTGCCGGTGCTGGGGAGGTGCCCACCAGTTCTTTGGTGATTTCGCTGGCATTCGATTTGAGTATTTTGCGTGCCGCCAATATGGCACATTGTTCTTTGTCCTCCACCTCGGTGTGGGAAATTTTCAAAATATTATTTTCATTGCTAAAAGAACTTTCCCCAGCAAAAACCGAGGAGTTATTTGCAGATTTGTCAACTTTCTTGCTAATGCTTATGGGCTGTACACGTTTTTTGGGTTTCTCTGCAGCAGCGGCAGCACCTCCAACTCCTCCACCCCCACCGCCTTGTGTTACATTTGTGGCGGATGTATTTTTCTTTTTATTGGAACGATTGTGGCCCGTTGATGTGTTAACAACTAGGAAATCACCCAAACATATACTTGTTGAGGCACTTTTATTGGTTGACCCTGGTGTGGTGGATAGGCGTCTTGAATTATTGCCCGAAACATTGCGTTTAACGGGAGTTGAGGTCAAATTCTTGTGTGAGGCATTCGAACGATCCACTGAGGTGCTAAGGCGTGGCATGGAATTCGAAGTCCAATCGGCATGCGATGTTTGCGACAATTCATTACGAATGCTTTTATTTGGTGTTGAGGTATTATTATCCTGATAACTTGTTAAGAAACGTGCCGCCAATGAGTCGTCTTGGGTTAAATTGGGCTTTGCCGTTTTAACAGGTGTTTGACATTTTGGAGTATCACTGCCTCCTACTCCTCCTGTTGCTTTTAAATGTGCCTCTGTGTGTTGCCTCAAAGAATTAAGAAAATACACGGTAAAATCTTCCAAGCTACAGGCATCATCATCAGCCTGATGAGTCTCTTCAAATTGCTTCATAAACCAACAACGAAATTGAAAATGATTTTTATCTTTGCCATCGTTGTTGTGGTTATAATCGATTAGAGTTTGCAATTTTTCCTCGGCTTTCAGTGAGGACATTTTGTTTGCTGTTGAGCTTGTTTTTTTGGGGTGTTGTTGTATGTTTGTTTCCTGTTCTAATTTGGCATTATTATTATAGTTTTAATGCATCTAACATTTCTCTTTTTTTCCAACTACCGTTTTGAAATTGTATCTGAAACGGAAGATGAATAAAAGAGAATATGGTTGGTTGGCAAAAAAAGAAAGAAAGAAAGAAAAAATTGAATTGTTCATTTTTTCGTCGCTGGTAATTTTTTGGTGTGGCTTGTGTTGGTTTTGGACATTGGTGATGTTTGCATATGACCACCAAATGACATCACAAAATCCGTCATCTTCATCACACATTTTCTCAATTAGATTAGGAAAAATAGAACTACATAAATGAATTAATTAATTGGTACTAATTTGAATTTGTTGCATATCTACAAATTAATTTAATTAAAAATTTAAAGAGCAAAGAAGAATGTTTCTTTTTTGGGAAATGAAAGTGGGGAGCAAAATTATTCTGTGTCCTAAGCTTTAAGGTATTTTTGGTAATTATACCATGGCTCCAAGGCAATATTAAATCCGGATTGGCCTCTAATATGATGATATGACGACCAGGCTATAAGTTCCCATCTTGTCTCAACGGACAAGAAATAGATTTTCAAGAAAAAATTCCGAAAAAAATACCCCGGCTACGCCGATGCGTGGAATTCCTTCAAACTAATATGTGGTGGGTAGAACTTTTCCTTGACGTTTCAGGAATGACTTAAACGATATTTCAGCCAGGTGTGATTAATATTTATACTAATGCAGTCACTGATGCTATCCACCATTTTAGTACACTCCACCATAACACTCTTTACCACATGGTCTGCGGTGATGAGAACACAGCTGAATGTGTAGGTCGAGGGAAATTTAATACCGACTACGAACTAACCCAAAATTCTAAGGGTCACATTCTATCGGCTATCTGCGACAAGATGAAAATGGGAACAAGGTCCTCAAGGCGCTAGCCGGCAGCGGGCAAGGAAACCTTGTTGACCTCTTAATCAGCTATGTGGCTCCCTTGTGGTATGCGAATACTAGTGCTACGCAGTGGAAACACATCAAGACCTGCCAAATTGCTGCCTGAGAACTGCGACAGGGTGCCTCCTCATGACACCAATAGACCATCTATATGAGGATGTGAAACTCCTTCCAATACGTCAGCATAATCATAAGGACATACACGATCTAGAGAGTGGGGTCCAACGCTATAAGAGAGAACCTCTAGATCAAGAAGCCTATCAGGCAGGTCTGAGTGGCATTCATAACGATGTAATCGCAGATGATATCAGTATATCAGTAATGATAAGATGAATGCCGTCCTCGGAGTGCACACCCCATACATTGCAGCTGAAAAACGCCAGCGGCCTAGACAAACCAGGATAGTTTTGGAGCAATTACGTTCAGGATGGTGTAGTCGTTTCAATTCGTATTGGTCACGAATTGACGAAGATGTGTGTGACGTCTACCAGGCGAGTGATACAGTCTCGCACAATACGCTGCACCTCTTTAATAGCACAGCCAAACCTACCCAACTCACTCCAGAAGATCTCTGGCTACAGCCCGTTAAAGTAGCCGAATATTTAAACCTATAGCTTGAACCATTACTACTGCAACAGCAATAACAACCATTGCAGTATAAATGTCGTCCTCAGTGACCAACCTCATCCATTGCAGCTAAAGACCATCGGCTGTCTAGGCAAAGTTTTTTTTGACCCAATTACGCTTGGTATAGTGCAGTCGTCTCAAATTCCTATTGAGTACGAATTGCTGAGAGTGTACGGGACGTTTGTGCAGTATGCGGGCCGTTGGACTGCATCTAACTAGTAACCATGCCAAACCTACCCAACTTACTCCTGAAAACCTTTTCCTATTGAGGCAGCAGAAGTTTATAGCTTATATAGTTTATAGCAATGTAAGTCTATAATAAACGGACGTACGAAATGGCTACTTTTTGTCATTTTTGAAAACTTTACTTTTTCCTAGTTGGGCCGCGAAATGGTTCATTGCTGTTGTACTTTGACCGAAATTGCTTACATTCTTCATTACCTCAAACAACCCACCAAATTGACCTAATGAGAGAAAAATTATAGATTTTTTCATTGTCTTTTTTATGTCTACTTTTAACACATAGATGATACTCAACCTCAATTTTTATAATGGATCAACAATTTCAGCTTGATCTCAAGCATTCTGATTAGTAATTCATGATAATTAAGAAAAATTTACTAATTTTCACTTGAATAAAAAGCCCTAGGTAAATCTTGAATAAAAAAAACCTAGATAAAATGCTTTCGATTTTTTGACACAAATAGCGGCTTAAAAGAATAACATTAGTACTGAGAGGGAGAGAGAAATAAAGAAGACAGGAAAACAACACCTTGCACATCATAAATAGCTTACCACATTTATAACACTTCCTCATGATCTCACTAAGAAAGCGAATTTTATTTACCACAATCCTTTGCTAATTATGTTTAAATATTAGGGAAATCAATTAATTTCCCTATTAAAAACGACAAACTTTAAATAAGAAATACGAAATCTGACATTAACAACTACACAAATAGCGGCTAAAAAGAAATACATGAGTACTAACCTAGAGAAAGAGAGGGAGAGTACAAGAGAACTATTGATTAATCGATTTCCATTAATTACAATAACAAAGTTAGTCTACTAAAGAGTCATACAAACGATTTTGTTGGAAGAGAAAGAAATTGAAAGAGTACACCCCACCTATTTGTTTTTATATTATTTTTCTATGGTCTTGCTGGTTTGGCTAATAGATGAGCTCCAAAATGTTGATGGAGGAGGAGAACACAAAAGCTAATTTGACTTTTACTGATTCATCATTGTCTACATAACTTGTATGGATGGATGGATGAATGTGGAAGAAACACAAAAAAGGAAATTCATGTCGAGACTGCTTAATTGAACCAATTGGCAAATGTATGCAGAAGAAGCATGTAAAACATGACACAGAAAACAAAAAAAAAACAAAACAATTGTCTCAGGTTGTGGCCAATGTAAAAAGTACGTGTCGCTGTTTCCACCCTTTTCGGGTAGTACAGAAAAAAAAAACAACAAAACCAAACCAATCATAAAATACAAAAATGACGTAATGCTCTAAACATGGAGGAAAACAAACACACATACACCACAATACAACTGGTAGAATAAATTGAAAGAGGCTATGAGAATATGTGATATTCTCCAACGAATTAAAATGCCACATGTGAGGGAGGTAAGATGCTGGGCACCGGTTGTTTATTGCTTTAGACAAGCGAAGAGCATCTGCAGCTCTCGAAAAGTAGAATTGTGTATGAATCTATAAATAGCTTAAATAAGTAAACAAAAATTCTCGATGCAATAGACAGAAATTGTGAAAGTGAAATGTCAGATACTTTTTTTGTCCAACAAGGAAATGCATGCATAAATTCTACATAAACACAAACAACTTCAATAGAATAACAGAAGAGATAATTACGAAGTTTGAAATTAGGAGAGTGTTATTGTCATTAACCCAATGAAGTTTTGTATTCCACAAATCCACAATACGAGGCGATGACGTCGTCGTCTCTCGTCGTATCTATTCTCTCACGCACACACACACATATACATTGGGATGAAAAAACTTTCTTTTGGATTTTTTCAATAAATACAGAAAATTTTTGGAATTTTTCATTTTTTAATTGTGTTCTTTCATGGTTGTTTAAACGTTTTTTATTGAAATATTTGCTAATTTGCTTTAGAAAAGTGTTTTATTTTCCACTTTTATTGGTCTCAAGAGGGTGTGGCGTGGTTTTCTTTTGAATTGAATATTTTCTGCTATAAATTTCACTTCTAATCATTTTTGAACTGTTTTCTTTTCCATAATAACAAAGTTTTTTGTTTATTTTATACTTTTTTTAACACTTACACTTCTTCAAAGCGTTTTATTAATATAATATTTCACTTATAATCTCAATTTATTATTTTTTTCCGTAAGCAATTAAACTTCGTACCGAACCCGTCAAGAGCAAAATTAATAATATTAGGAATAGGTAAGTCGACCTCTGATTAATCGAATAATCGACTTTAGTACTCAAAGAAACTCGAATTCGACTATGAACTTGGGTCAAAACCGAGTACTCGACTATTCATAGTCGATTGTTCGACTTATGCTATGTTCTCATTCATGGCAGAAGAATACAGGTAGATGCGTCAACGAAAAAAAATTAAATGTTTTTTCAAATAGAAGTAGATTTTTATATGTTTTCTTATACTACGTCATTCGGAGCCTATTATAAATCGCATTTTTCAACAATTTTTACAAATTTAAATAATTTTTCATCCAACAATTTCAATTCCAAAATTGGTTTGACAGTTCATTGTCCCTGCAGCTGTGTCGACGCGTCTACCTATATTCTTCTACCATGGTTCTCATTGCAATTTCAATCACGTTGTTCGCTCTAGTTTGGGTTTGTCATTTAGGTCATTCATGTTTTGAACTTTTTGTTTTAAAATTCGGTTGGAGAGTCACTTGTTAAAAATTTTTTTTCCTCTTTTGTTTCCAGTTTTCTGTCGATATTCCAACTCGTGGACAAAAAGCGTACCTCAGATGAGAGAAAAAACAGAATTTAAAAAACAGCAACAGCAAAATTGAAATTCCAATAAGTGCAAGAACACAAAGAACATAGACTCCAAAGAGTTGCTTCGCTTGGCCGAAAGTGGTGAACTGCCGAGCAGAGCAAAACGGCCATCAACATCTCCGGATCTCTAATCCGTTGGACCATTGTGTCTGGAGTATTTTGGAAAGCAAGGTTGGCACCTAAAAAAATACCAAAGTATCGATCACCTCAAACATGCGCTTTGACGGGAATGGGCCAAAATACCGCAGAGCAACATTCGAGCAGCATGTGACGGTTTCATTGGCCGTTTGAAGGCCATAATTCGTGCCAAAGGTGACAAATCTAAACTTATTCTAAGTTTGATTGTTGAAAAACAAATATCATAACAATCTCCGATTGGTGTCGTATAAGAAAACATGTCAAAATCTACTTATTTTTGAAAAAGCTCTTCAAAATTTTTGACATATCAATGTTCCCAAGTGTTGATGCATCTACCTGTATTTTTCTACCATGAAGTAAACTTTGCCTTATATATTTCGGATTAAATGATCTTATCATGATTGATCAAATATTATTATTATTATATTACAACTTCTAAATTATGCTCTATTAGATTGAATGTTTTTAACATATGTAGTGTCAAATTTTTCGTATGTAGAAAATAAATTTAATTTAAACGAAATTTTAGAGAATTTTGGTAGTTTTCTTTTCTTACAATTTTTTGAACTTGCGCAGTTTTGTATTCATTGTAGCAAGGGTCACACAGCCGATATAGTGTCAGTCACGTGCCATGTGAACTTTGTATTATTTCGGCATGTCATGTTCAGTCAGCTGCACTGATGCGACTTCCTTTTAATATGTCGTCAAATGCTCTTTGCAATTCTCTTTTGAACTTTCTACCTTTTTCGTGAAATTGAAGTCTTTATTTCTTTGTTATTTTTATTTAATGCCAAAAACGTAACGCGCACGACTAAAAACTAGATTTTAGTAAAAAAAAAAATTATGAAAACCTCATTTTTAAATTAATTGATATATTTGATTAAATCCAAAGCCAGACATTAAAAAATTTCATGAAAGACATTTGTGTTCGTAGACGAGGATTCAACAATTTCTCACGAAAAATTTCTGTGAGTGGCTTCAGAGTACATAATCTTTCTGTTACGAATGACGAACAGAAGCAAATTGCAAATCACATGAAACCATGTACACAATTTCATATCTCTCTCTCTCTCCCTCTTTCTTCAATCGGGTGAAACAAACGAGAAAAACTTTCTGGGTCTGGCATAAGACAAAGTTTGATACATAATTTCCGAAATAAATATTTCACAAAGATTGTTTGCAAATTAAAAACGGCTAAAAGGAAATAGACAATTTCAAAATAGCATTTTGAAAAGAACACTCTCAGAATGACTCTAAAATGGAAACGTGAAACGACAGAGCAATTAATCAATTGTGTAAAGCAAAATCCCTCCCTGTACAATGTGAGCACACCTGGTTATTTGGACAGGAAGGGTAAAGATCGAACCTGGGATAAAATCCTTGCGAAGATGGTGCGATTTGATCCGCATCTAAATAAAGAGGAAATTAGACGTAAATGGCGCAATCTAAGGGTGCAATTTATGCAAGAAGAACGTATGCTTAACAACACCAAGGAAGATGGAACGTGCGGCAATGATGATGTCTATATTCCGAAGCTTTGGTGCTATAACCAAATGAGTTTCCTGAAACCGCAATTCATTACCAGGAGGAGAATAGAGGTTGTATGTTTATTTCTTTAAGTAACTAATACCAATTGAACGAATTTCTCTAGGAGAAATCAATTGTCTTTTTGATTTTTTCTTATTAATCCTTATTACATGTTACAGATTGTGAAACCTCAAGGGGATAATGAGGACAATACAATGGATAATCTTGAGGTATGGCTCGCAATATTTGTTGTTTTTTTTTTTATTAAAACCTATATTTTACAGGATACCGAGAATGGCGATAGCACCATGGAAGAATGTACCAACATATCAACACAAAATAAAAAAGTATGTCAAATATAAAAAATTGGTATCAATTTCTAAAATACAAATTCAACAATTCTCTTTATATTTCCTAGTACCCCCGACAGATTATGGAAAGAGTGTGGACGAGGGAACTTATTGTGGCTTTAATAAATGAGTTGAAAAAGCATGAGCTGTTGTATAATGCCAACCATCCCTTGCACGCAGATGTGGACATGAGAAATCATGCTCTATTTGTTATTTGGAGTGAATTAAAGAAATTCAATACAAATTTAACAATAAAACATGTAAGGGTAAAAATACGCGTCTTGAGAGTGCAGTATAGGAAGGAATTACACGATCTGGAAATCGATAGACAGCGTGGCAAGCGAACAGAAACCCCCAAATTGTGGTGTTTTAGGCTATTAAGTTTCATGAGACCCTATACGGTAATTCAGACAAACCTTACCCCAAAAGTTAGTTCATGTTTAAGTGAGGTAATTGGTAATGGTATAAACGATTTTCAGACAGCATTTTTATGTCCTCATCTGTTTTTAGATTTCGGAATACAGTAACAGCAGTGAAGATGAAAGTCCATATAATGGCCTAGTTGAAAAAGCAAATAGTGAAGAAAACTTGCTGCAAGAAATGGATAAAGAAGTGAGTTGAAAAATTATACTGGCAGTGGAGTTTTTTTCAGTCTTATAAATGGTAGAATTTGAAATGTGGCCATTAATATTGAAATTCTTTTTATTTCAGAAAACATCCAATCTAGATGAGGACATTGAGGGCTTATATACCGAACCCGAAGTTGATCTAATAAATAATGAACGAGTAAGTTTCATTTTATTTGTTTCATAATTTATGGCATTAGGGATTGTCGTTGTACTTTTTATACCCTCTACCATAACATAGAGGGTGTATTAAGTTTGTTATTCATATATATTTAATCACGAAGGAATTGAGATAGAATGCTGAAACTTGACTGAAGGTCTGCGGCGAAAATGTTTGCGTGCCCAAGGCTTTAATACACCCCCCAGAATATTTTCGCGATAATATTCGGCATTTATTCTGATGCTACGGTCGAAAAATACGAGCGGTCATTTTGTTGGTTTACAAACTGCAACAGTAAAAACGTTTCATGGAATAAATATGATTTTTTGTTAGAGAATGGGATTTTCCCTTCCCTTCCTATTTTTCCTATTTTTAATTAACCGGCATCCCTTCTTCAATATAGGAAAAATCATATGTGGATGAAGACGTGGATAATATCAAGACCTATTACAATGAACCCGAAGACCTGCATCATGAAGAAAATAATGAACATGTAAATATTCCAATAAAATATTTTATTTTCGAAAATAATTTCTATACATTTAACGTTTTTTTACAGTATGAAGAAGAAATACACCCCAATAACCCTTATATTGCATTGCCAGAAGATCGTCATCCAGAGTCAAATAAAAGACCACGCTCTTTCAATCAAAATAAACAACACAGAATAGCTCAAAATATTAAACCAAATAATAGAATGGTAATCGAATTATAATCCAATATCCACGAGAAAAATGTGTAAATTCTTTTTTTAATAATTGCAGACCATTCATGTCAACAAAAATATTGGCAGATCAAGCAGGACGGAATTGCTCCCAGCAAATAGCAGAAGAAGAGTAAATACGATATTTCTCTTTCGCTTTTCAAATTTCAACATTTAATTTTTTTATTTTAGCAAATAGAAACCAATGAAGAATTATTAAACGTTCGTGTCCAACAAAATAATACATTTGATTGGCTGGGCAAACAAGTGTCATATGAAATTAATTCCCTAAAAGATGAACAAATACAGCGTGAAACAATTTGGAAAATTCAAAAACTTCTCTATGAGGCCTATCGACAGGATAGAGCAAAGAACTGTCCCGATCCACTGGGGGCAAATCAACGAGAAGGAGGGAGTTCAAATCTATGATGTGCGAAATAAATATTGAAACTGAATCAATAAATTAATTATAAGGCGGAATTTGAATATGGGAAATTACGTACTAATGAGCATGGCCCAATTAATAGGTCCTCTTGCCACCAGAACAACTGAATTCCACTAAAGTTGTCAAATTAAGCTATTATATTTTGATGTTCTTCCTCAGACCATAAATTTTTCATGCCTTTATGATAATTGATTGTCGCAGGAAGTAGAGTTGGAAGTAATTGCGAGAAGAAATTTTTGCTTCAAATTCTCATTGAAATACTTATCAACATTACTCTCTCAATTTGCTATCTTTTGCACAGAATTTGTATCAACCATCGGCTTTCAGTAACAATTTGCAACGATTGTTATAAATATAAGGTTATAGCATTATTTGTACGTTATTTTTTTCGCTAGTCAATGCCACTAAATTGCAAAACTTCGTGCAATATTTGCGAATGAAATTTCAGAACAATGTTTACGAATTGAATGCAAAGAGAAAGTTGAACCGTGAGGAGGTTAACCGTATTGTCGTATGTGTACAGAGTTCACAGAAAGCACAGAGCGCCGCCGCTGATTTGTTTACACCTAATAAGTCGACGGCGTCGAAAAAAATCGTTTCGCTTCGCAGTCTGCCGGTATTATTCTATCTTAAAGGAAAACAAGAAAGGATTAGATTGATATGAAGTGGACCAAGGAGCAAGTTAGCATTTTAATAGAAAATTACAAACAACATGAGAATTTGTATGACACAGAACATCCTCACTATTTTGATCGTCTTCAAAGGGAGAATTCTATCGATTCTATCTGCAATGAACTTAAGAAACTGGACGAAACAATTACTCCAAGTGCAGTTACGACAAAAGTTCACTCATTGAGGTCACAGTATGGAAAGGAACTGAAAGCAGTACAAAACAACAAGCGTGCACCAAGATTGTGGTTTTTCAATAAAATTGATTTTTTAAGGCCTCTGTATATTCGGAAAGTTCAATCGCGTCTCAATAATGGGGTAAGTTTTGAATTGTAAGTCGTATGACTATATTTCTTACGTTTTCTGGTGACCTTGCAGAGTTCAGAGGAGGAGTATGAGGATGATGATTATGACGATGACAGTCAAGAAGATGGACATGGAAGGACACATCCCTACATTGTGAGTTGGCAGAAAACAAAGGCAGCTAAATATTGATTTGACAATGCGAACCTAATTTGTTTTCTTTTTTCAAAAGCCGCAGACCCGCGAAAGAATTTGGACGCCAGAAATCACAAAAATATTAATAGAAAAATATAAGGAACACCCACAATTATATGATGTCTCAGATCCCGCCTACAGAGACAGTGATTTGAGAAAACACATACTCGTTGATATTTGTGAAGATGTAAGAAAATTCATGCCAAATATAACTGTGGATGACATTAAGAATAAACTGCATTCTTTGCGAAGCCTGTATGGAGCAGCTTTGCGTCGCATGGAACGGCGTAGACTTAAAGGTTTGCCGGTGGTGGAGCCCACATTGTGGTGTTATAACCTATTACATTTTTTGAAGCCGCATATCATGAGTGTACAACTTAAAGTATCCAACTCTTATAGCACACATTTGAGTGAAGTAAGCCATAATTCCATAATCTAAAAAATTCACTTTAATTTATCGATTTTTATAATATTCTCTTTCTAGATTTCGGCGGATAGTGACACTAGTTCGAATGAAAGTCCAGCGAAAAAATTGAATTTCAATAACGATAAACATTGTGATGAGCTGGGGGATGATTATTTACAGCAAGGGCCTAGTAAAAGAGTAAGTCCCCCTTAAAAGTAGATTTTTATACTCTCCACCTAAGATGGAGGTTATATATGTATACTTTACATTTGCCTTTGTAATACCTGATTGTGTCCCAAGAATTCTCTTTGAAAGACCATCAGAACTTAGGAGGCAACTAATTTTTAAAGAATTTCTCATACCATATTTGTAGTCTTATCAAATATATGTTTTTATTACAGGCAAAGATTTGTAAAGATGTAGAAACCCCTAAATCATTAGCTAAGAAACCGGAAAACCTGCACCAAGGACATAATGAAAAGGTACGCATTTTTAGATCTATATTTAGCTGATGATAAATAAACTATTATATTTCATTAAGAGTGATGGTGATGACTATGTCGACACATACGATGAGGAAACGTTGGTTGATTATGCCCCGAAAAAGAATAACTGTTCAATATTTTCTGCATCTAGGGCTCAGTATGAATCCTCAGACGACACAACTCAAATAAAAAATCCTTGTGTATGTAGTCACTTTTATTTAAATGTACATCTTTCGCTTTATATATTTTTTGAATTGCAGCCTATAACTGTAGCAAATGCAAAATTTAAACATGAAACTGAAGTACATACTACAAATAAGAGGATAAGTGTAAGACATATTATACCGAGTCATTCGCAGAATGTTTGTGAATACTTATGCATGTTTATTTTTTTAATTGTAGCCAATACCCGTCACAGATACCAAAGATAAAAGTAAAACTAAAGTCAATTCTACAAATGAAAGGATAAGGGTAATATAAAAAATACTAAAAAATATATAATTTAAAGACACCTTAAAAACGTCAATATTAAATATGACCATCTTTTCTTTTCAGAAAATTGAACTGGATAAAAAATTACTTAGCCCTAAGCTCTTGGATGATTATTCCAGTTATTATTGGCTGGGCAATCAAGTAGCATTTGAAATAAAGTCATTAAAGAATGAAAGTATACGTCGCGATGCGATTGAAAGAATCCAAAAAGTTCTACATGAGGCCTACAGGCATGATACAACTAGTTGTCCAGATCCTCTCACAACAAATACACGGAAAAGGAAGCGTTGAAATTTTTTGTATATAATATACAAAATAACAAGTTAAAAAGCAGTAAGTTCGGCCGGGCCGAACTTTTAATACCCTCCACCATTTACAACGAATTTGGAAATTTTCAAAAAATAAAATCCTTAAAAAATTCTGTTAAAATTTTAAAAATACCGAATATAGCCGTTATGTTGGGGTCTATACGACGTGGACATACATACGCATTGTTTGTCATAAGCCATTACCATATTCAAATTCGAAACTGGACCCGCACCGACAATTTTCTGTCACAGACTGTAGTTCCCATAACGAACTTCAAATATCAAATTTTAAACAATTCCGGTTAATAATGTCGCTAAAATCATCAAAATACCGAACATAGCGAGGTGCCGTTATATGGGGGCTATACGAAGACGTGGACCTGCACAGACAATTTTCAGTCTTAGGGTGTAGAATCCATTTGGAACTTAAAATACCAAATTTGAAACAAGTCCAGTGAATAATGTCGCTAAAATCATCAAAATACCGAATATCGGGAGGTACCGTCATATGGGGGCTATACGAAGACATAGACTTGCACAGACAATTTTCTATATTAGGGTGTAGTATCCATTTGGAACTTCAAATACCAAATTTGAAACAATTCCGGTGAATAACGTCGCTAAAATCATCAAAATACCGAATATAGGGAGGTACCGTTATATGGGGGCTATACGAAGACGTGGACCTGCACGGATAATTTTCCGTCTTAGGGTGTAGTATCCATTTGGAACTTCAAATACCAGATTTGAAACAATTCCCGTGAATAATGTCGCTAAAATCATCAAAATACCGAATATCGGGAGGTACCGTTATATGGGAGCTATATGAAAACGTGGACCTACATGGCCCATTTACAAACTTAACCTGCCTACTGGAAAAATAAACATGTGTGCAAAATTTTAGCCATCTATTTCAATTTATTCGAAAGATAGCGTGATTACAACAGACAGACAGACGGACAGACAGACAGACAGACGGACATCGCTAAATCGACTTAGAATTTTACGCTGATCAAGAATATATATACTTTGTTGGGTCTGACATGAGTATTTCGAGGAGTTACAAACGGAATGACAAAGTTAATATACCCTCCATAGTATGGTGGAGGGTATAAAAACCATAAGCCTTAATTTTCAAAAGATTTTTCGGACAAATTTGCCTTGGCAGAAAAGAACACAATTAATTTTATGCTCTGTTCCAGAAGAAAATTTCAAAACTAGTAGATTCTTGCAGGTTCCAGAACAAAGCATTAGGTGGCCCTTGTCATCCTGATTCCAAATATGTATAATTCGTGTTTACCTTCTGAGATTTGTGTTTTATTAGTCTCTGCAGCAGAGAAAATCATTCTGCCTCAGTGCCTCCTAGAGCAAAATTCGTTTCTTGAACCCTACATCATACATTTTTCGATCTTTAGAACCCTGATCTGCAAGTTCTTGATGTTTTTGTTTTGACTTGGCTTTTCATCAGTCATTTTACTAATTCCCATTTAGTTCTTTGTTTTTTATTATCACGGCGGCTGTTTTCTACTAGGAAGCTTTGTAGTCTGGATCTCGGTGAGTCGTATTTTAATCTTTTTATTTATAATAAAAAATAATAGAATTGATCTATTTATTGATTAATAATTAACGTGAAATCACAGTAAAACATTAGCCTGTTAATACAATGTATAATGCGTGCTGGTTCCTTTTTTGTATTAATGAGATTTATAACGCAATAATTTCAGGAAAAAAATGGAAAAATTTGCAAATCAAATTGGATTTTTGGTCTTGAAGGACGATGGTGCCGTTCTGGAATCCGGTGGGGAATTGGAGAACGATGAAAGAAGTGCCAATATATTTCTAGATCTTATCAATTTAACCGAAAGGTAAGCAGACAATTCTTTGTAAACAAACACACACACTTAAGTCACAACTCAATCTTTCCAGTGTCGATGAGAATTTCATGCCAAACAGTAGCTGCGAAAGAATTTCCATTGTTTATGAAGATCACAGCTATAACATTTGCATGTCCAACAGACGTATCTATATTGTCAAATTGCGCAATGGTTCGGCCAACAGTCGTATGGGTGGTCTGGGTGTGTCTTCCAACAGCAGTGTCTATGTGGATGCCAATGAGGGCAATATGAGCTCAACCGGTGCCGCTTTGCTTACTTGAGGAGAATCAAGCACTGTCTGTTGCGTTTTCTGCGCCCATAGCATTCGCCGCCAGCGCAGTCCCATGGCGGACAGTGCTTGCCTCCCCACACAGAATACCAAGGATCGTTCACGTAGATTTAATTGGAAAACACCATTCATATATTTGATAATTTTGTTTATTTGTCAGAGAATACACCATCTTTAATATCATGTTCAGTAAATATACGTTCAGCTTCTTTCGTCATATCGAGTAGAGTGGGTTTTGTACTGAAGACAATGACAAAACGTTGACGCCAATTGCCATGTCTCTTAACTACCCAAAAATCATCGGTGGACTTGACCATTATCTCCTCTTGACTCGGTATGGACATATCAGACTCCTTGTTGTCACCCTCGGAAATGGTAAATAGATCGGCCATAACATTGAGAATATTTTGAGATAATTTCGTTTTACGCTGTGTATCATCCTCACCAAGATTTGTTATCATCTTAAGACTTTGATCATTTATGAATAAATATTTAGTACCATAGTCGCTGTCTCCACCACAGCTAGCTGGTGTTGATTTGCCTGTAGTATTCGTTTGCTTACTCAAATAGTCTTCAATATCACGTGACAAAATATACAGCTGTGTACTAAGTACATTACCAATATCTTCAAGATATTGTTGGGTAATTTCATTACATTGTTGTTCAAAAAATAAGCACAAATTAACATTGGTCGAGGTATAGATAACCATGCGATATGGTTTAATGCCATCCTTTGTGTTGATGTATAATTTGTGAACGGAGTGTTTTGCATCACGCGTTGTCATTTCGCCACTTGCTGCCGTTGTCAAATGCTCGAGGACAAATCGATACAGTGTATACAATTGTGTGGAATGAAAGCGACCGCAACTGTAACAGAAAAGAAGAAAATAGTTAATAATATGAGGAAATTTTAATGCTGGTCTCAATGAGCGATGATTTCTATGTTAAGCGGGACTTCCATTTATTCATTAATTTTGGATGTTTTGATGAGTGTTATGATGTTCGCATTTAACAAATATAAGAGACTATTGAGTAATCAACGTCTATATTTCCCCGTTTTCAGATTCTTGGCAGGGACTTTTTGACTCCATAACAACCTACCTATGAATATTAATGGCTTTTATAGGGAAAGTGGAAACAGTGACAGTCACCTAATACTAAAATCGGCTACTTACGTTACAACAGTATTCTTGTACAGAAACAATGAATCCTTGATTGTGGAATATGTCGATTTCAGCGATTCCATGAAATTATGAACTCTCAAGAATAATACTTTATCCAATGGCAAATACTGCAGGGAACGCATAAATTCGAATATATCCTCGGCCGGTAGTTTCAATGACGAAATGTACTATTCATAAAAAACAAAAAATAGTTACATTATTTTGCTGGACAAATCAAATGTACTTCACCCTTGTACCTTATCGAAAAACTCTTCCAATTTATCAACCAAAATTTCACGACCATTATCAGGATTCTCTTCCAAAATCATTTCAAATGTTCCCTCTTGCATGCGAAAACGTTCATAGGCCATAATTAGTACACGGCGATAGATATCGTCATGCAGTTCATATGGATGATATTCAGCATAGTCCACACCATCTTTAGTAAGCATTTCTTTGGGGACATTTAAGACCAAAACAAGCCAAAACTTTGGTTCTGCTTGGTACAGCAGTTGTACGGTTTTCTCTGTATGAATAACTTCACAGCCACCAGGTTCATCGGTAAACGTACTAGGGTGGAACATGAGAAAACATTAATTAATATTTGTAATTAAGATTATATTGCAATTTGCTTACTCTGTAAATGTTGTAAATGCTTGACTCAATCCAATATCGGATATTTTGGTGTTTAGCTCAATATCCTTGGGATGATAAAATAGCACCTTTTCTTTTTCCTACAGTTGGGAATTAGAGGGAGGATTGATTATACTATATTAGCTGCCTAATAATTAACATTACTCACATGTCCCTCCTTTAAGCCATACGTTGAGTTGAAAATATAGAAACTCCTTATGCTAACATCCACTTTTCGTTGCAAATTATGCATTTTTGTGGCCGTTTGCTTTGGTCTATCAAACCGTTGTACAGTGTTTTTTGTTTGTCCAAGCTCTTGGCAGAAGCATTCGTTTCAATGCTATGTATTTTTCTGTATTTTATAAATCTTAAGAAACAATATTTCCCCTTGTAAAGAAGTTTAATTTGTTAGTTTTACTTGGGAAGTTGGCTATTAGTTGTATTCCTTTGCTGTTGACATTTAGAAATGGCCAAAGAAAGGGAGTAATAACAAAAAACAACAGCGATATGTTTAGAATAAGTGTGATTGTGGGAATTTAACTGTTAGTCATTCACATTGAAATGATAGCACGTGATTTTCACAAATGCTAAATTATCAGCTTCTTTGTGGGGATCTATTGTCTAAAAAGGTTTTTGTAATAAAAAATCCGTTACTTCTGTCTATATCGAGTATAAAAATATTCTCCTCATTGTAAAAACTTGAGATTATGGAATAAAAACAATTTTTCTAGTAGATAGTAACATAAACGTCATTTAAAACGTCAACAGTGAATAAAGATGAAGAAAGAAAAAGCAACGCACTTCCGCCAATAATTTTTGAATTACATGCCTTGCTTTTAATAATTATAACCGTTTAAAATAGAATTCCTTTAATTTAGGGATATATTTTAACTAGAAAATTAATTTTTCGTCGTTTTTTTTATTAAATTCCATTGACAATTTATATTTGTTAAAAATATAGTCAATTCTATTACATAAAACAAAACGTCTGCATCTGTGGAATGTCATAAATTCCAAAAAATATGCGAACGTAGATTCAACCATGGTAAAATGAAGACAAAGGTCAAAATTTCTTTTCAAAATCTTGTTCTATATATATCTAAGGTTTATTTCGCAAAAAAACTGTAGATTTTGTTGATGCATACGTAGAAATAAGCCATGAATTCAACCATGGTACAATAAAATCAAGGTAGGGCTATGACCATATGATTTAAATTTTTTTCTTGGCTTAATATGTCGACTTTATTTGCTTATGTGTGTATATTCTTTTCAATAATAAAACAATTGTTCAGAAAATATTTAAATTCGGGTGTTTTCAAAATGCTTATTGCAACTTATGCATCTACAAAATCTACAGTTTTTGTAGCGAAATAAACCTTAGAGATATATAGAACATGATTTTGAAAAGAAATTTTGACCTTTCATTCAGTTTTCGCGGTTTTCAATTATTTATTCAAAATCAATACAACAAATTGTTCGATTTTGATAGTAAGGTGTAAGTACATAAGAAGCATAAAGTCAGGTAGAACGCTATAATTGCAATTTTTCAAAGTTAACCTACCTCGTCTTCATTGTACCACGATTCCATCTCAGCATAAGAGCTATCAAATGCTCTGTTCCAAAGCTGCGAGATTGTGATATTTTTTACTTGACAACCAATTTTTTCTTTATGAAACTGAAAAAAAATATTCAAAACTGTTAAGGTGGAAGTACATAAGAGCTTTTTGCGTCGCTTAAGTCATCGGACGGCTTCTTCGTAAAAGAACAAAGGGGTCTAAGGCCGAAATCAACCTAAAACTACTTCGTACTCCTACGAAGTAGCCAGCCGATGTCAAATTATAATGGAAAACGACGGCAGGATTTTAGTGCGGCTCTATAATCCCTTTATGAAATGTCACAAAATATGACTTCAAGCTTCTTATGTACTTAAACCTTAAACCGCTTTTTTGACTGGCTTAAGCCATTGGCTGGCTTCATCGGAAAAGAGCAAAGGAGCTTAGGGCAAAAATCGACGAAGAAGCCAGCCAATGACTTAAGCCAGTTAGATAAGCGTTTTAGAGCAAAAATGTCTCTCTTTTGAATAGCTCTCTTTTTCAAAACTTCTGTGTGAACAGACGACTTCTAGGAACAGTATCGAATTCTAATATTTCAGCAGGAGAACACTCGTTGCCCAAATAGAGGTAGCATAATTACCAGATTTGTTTGACGATATTTGATATTTAAGCAAATATTTAAGCAAGTTTGACATCATCTAAAGAGATCGTGGAATGACATCACCTACCACAAGAAGAATACAGGTAGATGCATCAACGCTTGGGAACATTGATATGTCAAAAAAATTAAATTGTTTTTTTTTTTTTTTCAAAAATATTTAGATTTGTGTATTTTTTCCTATTCGACGCCATTTGGAGATTGTTATGACATTAATTTTTTAATTTTTTTTTACAAATTTGAATAATTTTTCATTCAAAAATTTCAATTCCAAAATTGGTTTGACAGTTCATTGTCCCAGTAACTGTGTCGATGTGATTACCTGTATTCTTCTACCATGATCAATATAAAGATAATTCACACTCAACGATTTTTCCATTACTTATAACACTACATTTTCTTTATTCTCGCTCTTCCAAAAATTTAATCTCTAAACATAAATCGTAAACATAAATAAATAGTAAATCGATACTCAGAGCGCTAATACTGCTTTGCCTTTCTGGTAGAAGAACATAGGTAGAGGCATCGACACAGCTGCTGGGACAATAAACTGCCAAATCAATTTTGGAATTGAAAATATTGAATGAAAAATTATTTATATTTGTAAAAATTGTTGAAAAATGCGTATTATAATAACCTCCGGATGACGTCGTATAAGAAAACATATAAAAATGTACTTATATTTGAAAAGACATTTAAAATTTTTTGACATATCAATGTTCCCAAGCGTTGACGCATCTACCTGTATTTTTTTACCATGGGAACATTGATATCTCAACAATTTTTAAAGTTTTTTTTTTATATAGGTAGATTTGTATACTTTTTCCTACACGACGCCAATCGGAGGTTGTTATGATATGCATTTTTTAACAATTTTTACAAATTTGATTAATTTTTCATTAAAAAATTTAATTTTCAAAATAGATTTGAAAGTTCATTGTCCCAGCAGCTGTGTCGATGTGACTACCTGTATTCATCTACCGATTACCGATCGATTACTTAAAAAACGACATTTTCTTTGTTCACTGTGTTCCAAAAACTTTAGCTCTAAACAGAACGAGAGTCATTTTGCACTCAAAAAATGAAAAATACACTCAAAGCGCTATTACTGTTTTGCTTAAAGTGTTTGTAGAAACGCAAATGAATAAATCGATAAATCGTTGGATGTGAACTACCCTAATATTAATCAACTATAATAGCGCGTTTACACGTATCTTAGACAGATAGGAGACATTTACGAAAAAAATTAGTGTTTTTAAAAAAGGCAGTTGAATGAGTGACTTTATATTCGGTCCACCCTCCTAACAATGCACTTATTCTTTACGGAAAACTTAACACCAGCAAATTGGGACAAATTTTTTGAAGTTATTAACATGGACGTCAGCACCCCCTCTTAACGAAATTTGTGTAAGGGCTTGTAAACATATTATAAATTCAGTGGATTTTAACTGTAAATCCCATTGCGTATCAAATCTTAAATCCAGTGAATATTATTTGACGTATACGCACTTATATTGACAATTTAATTTTAATAGAATCGAATTTTAAAAAAGAGTCTATTAAGATGTGCATACTTTCTAAATATCATTGTGTTTAGGGACGTGTTCTTGACAAACCGAACCATACTTCGAAATCGAAACTAAGTATTCCACCATTTTCAAAATTCAGATAATATGAATGGAATTTGATTATCAAAACCGACCATCTCGAACTCCAACTTTTCCCCAACACAAGACCACACGAACACAAAGGTGACATGCAAAATTATCTACACACACACACACGCACAACCGCTTGTGCAGTGCAGAGGGAAGTAGGATTTGTTGCATTCAAGGATTTGGTTTGTGGCAAAGAAAAGTTACTCTCGGGATGGTGACTATTTGCAAATGTTGTTTTAATTGAATTTAAAGTTTCCGCTGGTAAACAAATTAATGTCGTACAGAAACTCTATTAAAACTAACGACATTATAAAGTCACACAAATGAACTGACACACGCATGCAGGAACACACACACACTACCTTTAAAATTTACAAACGGGATGGAGGAGACAGTGGAAATTTACGTCTTTACAATCAGCAGTCGTAAAATTTGAATAGGTGCAAATCGAAACGACAACCTCAATGTATCCTTATTACAAGGATATGTTGTAGAAGTAAACTTGGAACTTTGCTAGTTTTGTTTTTGTTTGTTTTGTTTAAATAAATTAACAACATCCTGCATCCTGACATGCATGCGCTAGAGCAACACTCCAGCTGAGATGAAATTTTACAACAAATTTTGGTATTGGAGGATACACTGAGAAAAGGGATTTTTTAAGAATATTTCCTCAAGGACCAATAAACGTGGATTTTTAAATAATATTTTTTCAAGGACCTCCACAACAATAAACGTGGATTTTTAAAGAATATTTTTTCAAGGATCTCCACAAACGTGGATTTTTAAAGAATATTTTTTCAAGGACCTTTAACCCAGTAAACGTGGATTTTTAAAAAATATTTTTTTAAGGACCTCCACAAACGTGGATTTTTAAAGAATATTTTTTCAAGGACCTACACAAACGTGGATTTTTAAAGAATATTTTTTCAAAGACCTTTAACCCAGTAAACGTGGATTTTTAAAGAATATTTTTTCAAAGACCTTTAACCCAGTAAACGTGGATTTTTAAAGAATATTTTTTCAAAGACCTTTAACCCAGTAAACGTGGATTTTTAAAGAATATTTTTTCAAGGACCTCCACAAACGTGGATTTTTAAAGAATATTTTTTCAAGGACCTCCACAAACGTGGATTTTTAAAGTAATTTTTTTCAAGGACCTCCACAAACGTGGATTTTTAAAGAATATTTTTTCAAGGACCTCCACAAACGTGGATTTTTAAAGAATATTTTTTCAAGGACCTCCACAAACGTGGATTTTTAAAGTAATTTTTTTCAAGGACCTCCACAAACGTGGATTTTTAAAGAATATTTTTTCAAGGACCTCCACAAACGTGGATTTTTAAAGTAATTTTTTTCAAGGACCTCCACAAACGTGGATTTTTAAAGAACATTTTTTTTCAAGGACCTCCACAAAAATAAACGTGGATTTTTAAAAAATATTTTTTTCAACGTTCTTCACAAACATGGATTTTTAAAGAATATTTTTTTCGAGGTTCTTCACAAACATGGATTTTTAAAGAATATATTTTTCAAGGACCTCCACATAAATAAACGTGGATTTTTAAAGAATATTTTTTCAAGGTTCTTCACAAACGTGGATATTTAAAGAATATTTTTTTCAACGTTCT